CTTCTTTCGGGGTGGGAGAGTATATTTTCTTAGAATGAGCCCTTCCGCGCATTCTTAAATCAGAGGTAGCCCGGCCTATGTTGAATACAGATAAGGGCGTTGTCCTGAAAGGCTCTCCTGTTCTAAGGAACACCATGAATGATAGAAGCCTTCATTTGAAAAGGAATCAAAGAGCCCCTCCAGCATTTCAATAGACGACAGGATTTCGCTGTTGTCAGGAATGCTATTGTCTGTAACAAGCTCTCTTTCTCCTTCCTTTCGTTCTCCCTCTTCGTGCGCCCGCTTTCTGCACTCTCCCTTTCTTGCGTCCCTTCTGCGGGCCCTTTCTTCCTCTGTTCCTTTTGTCATTGCGTAGGGGGCATAATTAGACGAAGGGCAAGGTTAAGCAAGGAGAATGAAGAGAATGATATGATGGAAAGAGGACTTCTCCTGCTCCTTGTAACTACCTTCCACACTTCTCTACATGTCTACATGATCTTTTCCCTTATTTTTCTTCTTAGCAACACGGGAAAGGGTGCTCCTCTCACGCCTCTCTTTCACTCTTGGAGGCCCCTGGATGACACTCTCTGAAGGCCGCCTGAAACTCTTGGGGGATCAGAGGGATGAACAGAAAGCACCAGGGGGCACCGGAGTGAGAGAGATGGAGACAGATAGAGAAGCAAAGAGAAGGAGACAGTAATCAGGGAGAAGAGGAAGAAGGAAGACAGTGGAAGAGCGACAGATAGGGAAACAGGGTGAAGGAAACAGAAACAATGAAGAAGAGGAAGGAGGAAGCGACGGTGAAAAGAGGGCCGCTTGGAGAACAAAAAGGAGACAGAGAAGATCAAGAAGACAAGAGAACAGGTAGGGCAGGACACTTGTCTTTGTTATCCACTGTTCCTTTTCCTCATCCCTTACACTTTTTTCCCGAGCATCGCTCACTCCTTTCTTCCACGGTCTTCGTCCTTCATTCCCCCTCTCTATCTCCTATCCTTTCTCTAGCTCTCCTTCCTTTCTTTTCCCATGTTCGTTCTCATCCTTTCTCCGCTCTCCCTTTTCTCGCGTCCATGCCATGAGCCTTTCCTCCTCTGTTCCTTTTGTCATAAAGTAGTCATAAAGTAGGAGGATAGAACATGGGCAAGGTTCAGCAAGGAGAATGAAGGGAATGATAAGATGGAAGGAGGACTTGTCCTGCTCCTTCTAACTACCTTCCACACCTCTCTACATGTCTCTGAGTCTTTGTTCTTTTCTCTTGTTTTTCTTCTTAGCAATGTTTGGAAAGGGTCCTCCTCTCACACCTCTCCTTCACTCTTGGAGACCCCTTGGGGACGCTCCCTGAAAGCTGCCTGACAACTTTGGGGAAGGCTCAGAGGGTTTGGAGTGTGTGGAAAAAGGCAGTGCAGGGCCATGTCCAGATCAGTGCCTCGTAAAACAGAAAGGATGAGCAATGAACGGAAAACGCCAGGGGGCGCCGGAGAGAGAGAGAGAGATGGAGACAGATAGAGATCAGGGAGAAGAGGAAGAAGGAAGACAGCGGAAGAGGGACAGCGTGGCAACGGGGTGAAGGAAACAGAAACAATGAAGCAGGAGAAGCAGGAAGCGATGGTGAAAAGAGGGCCGCTTGGAGAACAAAAAGGGGTGAGAGAAGATCAAGAAGAAAAGAGAATAGGTTCGGGCAGGACACTTGTTTTTGTTATCCACTGTTCATTTTCCTCACCCTTGTGCTTATTTCCCGAGCATCGCTCACTCCTTTCTTCCACGGTCTTCGTCCTTCATTCCCCCTCTCTATCTCCTATCCTTTCTCTAGCTCTCCTTCCTTACTCTTCCCATGTTCGTTCTCCTCCTTTCTCCGCTCTCCCTTTTATCGCCTCCATTCCATGAGCCTTTCCTCCTCTGTTCCTTTTGTCATTACGTAGGGGGATAGAGCACGGGCAAGGTTAAGCAAGGAGAATGAAGGAATGATAAGATGGAAGGAGGACTTGTCCTGCTCCTTCTAACTACCTTCCACACCTCTCTACATGTCTCTGAGTCTTTGTTCTTTTCTCTTGTTTTCTTCTTAGCAATGTGGGGAAAGGGTCCTCCTCTCACACCTCTCCTTCACTCTTGGAGGCCCCTTGCGAACCCTCCCTGAAGGCTGCTTGAAACTCTTGTGGAGGCTTAGAGGGGTTTGGAGTGTGTGGAAAGAGGCAGTGCAGGGCCAGGTCCAGAACAGGGCCCATCGTTTGTACAGGGTCTGCCTCGTATAGTCAGAAAGGATGAGCAATGAACAGAAAACACCGGGGGGCTCCGGAGTGAAAGAGATGGAGAAGCAAAGAGAAGGAGACAGTAGTCATGAAACAAGGAAGAAGGGAGACAGTGGAAGAGCGACAGATAGGGAAACAGGGTGAAGGCAAAAGAATAAAGCGATGGTGAAAAGAGGGCCGCTTGGAGAACAAAAAGGGGTGAGAGAAGATCAAGAAGAAAAGAGAATAGGTTCGGGCAGGACACTTGTTTTTGTTATCCACTGTTCCTTTTCCTTTCCCCTTACACTTTTCTCCCGAGCATTGCTCACTCCTTTCTTCCACGGTCTTTGTCCTTCATTTCTCCTCTCTATCTTTCTATCCTCTCTCTAGCTCTCCTTCCTTACTCTTCCCATGTTCGTTCTCCTCCTTTCTCCGCTCTCCCTTTTCTGAGAGACGGACCATGTGGATAAAAAGTAATTAGATGACATCATGCATCCAATGACTGCACTTCACGCTTCTTGGCACCTCCTTGGTGTCCTTTTCGCTGATGTTCGGAAGGATATGAATTTCGTGCAGTGGAACGAATAGACTAGGGAAGACCAGGGCAAGAAGAGTGGCCTCTTGTTCGCATAAACCCTAAGCCTAAACCCTAAACCCCATGATGAAAATCCCGAGCTCAAGAGGCTAATTAAACCTTAAGCAGACAAACCCTACCCATTCATCTCTAGGTTAACCCGAAAACCGACAACGAACCCTTAAACCCTTAAGTCCTAAGTACTAAATGCTAAACTCAAATCCCTTTTAAAACATTCGATGCCTCTGCCCAACCCAAACCTGGGCAGGAGAAGTTCAACCACGCCGCCGAGTTTTTTTTGAAGGGTTGTTTCTTAAGTTGTTAGTCTGTTTAAAATATAAAGCAAAAGGGGTTGCCAAATAATACACAAAGGTCCATGCCACATATATATATATGTATATATATATATGTATATATATATAATGTATGTCTTTGTGTATGTATATGCATGTGTACGTACTACCAAATACACATAAGTGTAAATGTGTATATTATGCATATATATACATACAAACTTATGTGTATATATATACATACATATGCACTCGGGGGCTTTTGGAGGCTTGGCGTCTGTTTCCGCACATCACTCTCGTTGTAACGTCGAGTCTCGTGTCAAAAGATTGTGAGGAAACTTCGGGTTGGTGGCTTGAGGACTTAGGCCCTAGGCATGGTGTTTGTTATCCTTGGCCGATCCTTGCAGAGGACACGTCGTCAATGCTGACCACCGACAGTCCAGCACCTTTCACAGTCATGGAGAGCCAGGCGCCCCGAAACCACCCAGCCCCAAGCATTCCAGGGAGCACGACTTTGCGCGTTCAAGAATTTTCAGGGCTTTGTGTTCAGATAGCGCAGGGCTGAACCTCAACGTCCTCGTGCCCCGAAACTCCAGACGTAGTTCTTCGTTTTGATAAAGTTGAATCGTTTTCTTTGTGCCACCTGGCGGCTCAAGACCTTTATGGAACCCCATAAGAACCTTTAAGAAGCCTAGAGGCCCAGCCAAAAACAAAAGCGAATTTGCAACTTAAGAACTCCGAAAAAGCACCTGAAAGCTTGGCTCAGGCCTCACGTCGCTTGGAGGACACCCTGCAGGTCGCCCACGACCTCCTGTCCATCCTCGGCTCAGAGCCACGGCGTGTTGAGAGGGTCTGTTGCTATAAACATCGGGCTGCGCTTAGGGCTTTCCAGGACGTTGTCGGGCTTCAGGTGGTCTGCAGGGGCCCTTCTTTGAGGGCTCTAAGATGCTCTAAGGCTCTAATTGGAGTGTAGGGTGGCTTTGGTGCGTTTCAACCGATCCCAAACCAGCAGCCCAAAAGTCTCAAGTACGCCCGAACACCCCAAAACTTGAGCACCCAAGGCCCTCCAGCACCCCAAAAGGGGGCCTGCATCCTGAAGCCCCTAGACACTGAAACCTTGGACTGGCTGGCTAGTATTACAGGGGACGGGATGACTGAGTTGTGGACACCAAGCGTGGAAGATCTCTCTGACCCCTATATACCCCTGAAGGGTGTGTGCAGTGCGGGTGGCCAAAAAAACTAGGAGAGGCGTACCCTAGTCAACCCTGCGATGTGGACTCGCGCCAGCTGCCCCTAAGCTTGGGATGTTCCCCCTTATACTAGAAGTCCTAAAAAAATAGGGATCATAGTACCCCCCCCCCCCCCCCGTATAAAGCCCTAAAACCTAAGAGGAATACATGCTGATCGCGGGATCCCTCTTGGGAGCTGTCCGGCATCTAGGGCGCCACTCCGCAGGAAGACCAGTGTGGTTCAGGATTATTTGTCTTTGGGTGGGGGTTTAGGGTTTGATGTTCTCCCTTGTATTAGCAGTCCTTAACAGGGATTATAGTAGGGGTACTACAAGCCCTATTAAATTAAGGACTGTTAGTATAAGGGGGAACTTCCCAAGGTTTAGGGCTTCAGGGTTTTGGGTTTTGAGGGTTCCTCGCCAGAGAGTCCTGGCTCAAACTTTGTTAAGGGTTCCCCCAAAGCCCTTTACTTAACCAACAAGAGGGTTCAGTAAAGGGTTGTCTGTTGGGATGTTCCCCCTTATACTAGCACCCCTTAACCGGGATGATAATAGGGGGTAATATCATCCCTATTCAGGACTACTTGTAGAAGGGGGAGCGGTTTGGAAAGCCTAGTGCGTATCCAGACTTCCAACAGTGTTTCACATGGAGTTGTTTCGGTGGAGTATTGGGTTGGAGCCAGCTTTGGTTTGTGTCTCCTAGCATGGCTGATCTGGCTCACAACTTCTGCGAACTCAGTGATCGACACGGGGAGAAGGAAGGATGGCGCAGGGCAGTTTTGAAGCAACATGCCCAGAAAGTGGGTCACTGTTTGTCTGTTGCGGTCTTTATGTGTCTTCGACTCACTCAGACTTCCTTCCGACTTCATGGAACGATTCCAATCGAGTGCCAGGGTGTTTTTTTGTTAATTCCACTCTTGCTCCCGCACTGTGAGATCATATATCGGTTGCCTGCCTCAGAGTCAGGTCGCTGCTAAACCAAGCTGCGCCACCGGATGGTAGATCTGCTACACTTTCAATTTCAAGGTACGTCATGCCACACGACTCCGATACCGAAATACGGGAGGTCGTGTACAGATTGTCGGCGAGTGCGCAGCCGAGGCATTCCGTGGGATGACGACGTCGACCTCTGCGCCAGCTGGCTGGCATTCAGCGCTTGTCATGAGGACTGTTGCGGGGTTGGGGGAAGGGCGCGTCCTCCCTTACTTCCCCCCACCAAGGGGCCAGTGGGTCATTATGAGCATCCCGCTAAGCCGATCAGGGAATTCTGGAATTAGCAGAAGTGATTGCCTCGCTCCATATGCCATATGCTTGCCGCCCGCTTTACCCACAACATGCCCCTATACCCCCTAATTATAAACCCTTTTAAACCCTCGACGTTGAACCATGGCCTTGTGGCACTTTACGCCGCATCCGACCTCGGGAATCGTTAAGGTGCGCAATTCGGGAGGGTTTTTGGTGCGGGTTCAGAGTTTAGGGCTGTGCGTTGATACTCGGTAGACTCGAGGTTCAAGATCCATTTAATCTATTTGTACTTGCAGAAAAGTCACCACTGGTTGATGTTGGGGAAAGTTTCGGTGTGCATCCGAACACATGGCCTATGACTTCAGAAGTTGTTGGACGATTTTCGTGGACTCTTGAGCACCCCTCGGTCTCCCCTGGCCCTTCCAGAAGGCACACACCCCCCAAACCCCGAACTCTCGGGGGAGATCGCCCGGTGTATTCTGTGCTATCGAAACTTGCTCTACATTCCATCACGCACATCTCTTTCCTCGTCAGTTTAGCCTGAAAGGCTCTCGGGACGCAAGGCGGGGAGGGAGACTCGAAAGTCGTCTCTACATGATTCAGTTAAGTGCACTTGCAGCCTAAAGAAATCAAAGAAATCAAAGAAATTCAAGAAACTTCTTTAATTTATTTGGCTTAATCAAATTATGAATTTCGACCGCTGCTTGACCTTGGCATGTCTATGCTCACGCATGCAGAATCGAATGCGCAGTTACAAACATATGGGGTCGTCCATTTTTCCGCGTATTTGGTACCAGTAGCTGCGCGCCCGGTGCTTAAAATCGCACCCAACCCGCAAGCTGAGGTGGATGCCATCCATGAGCACAAGCTTGTCGCCTTGGCCATCGCCTTGGAGGCTTTTTGGTTCTTAGCCAGTCATGTACACTGGGGGATCAAGGTGGGTGTCTGGCAGTCAGAAAGTCCAGTTTCAAAGGGTTTGGAGTTCAAAAGGGTTTTTTTACGCCCTTGCCCCCACCCCCCCCCCGCCCCCCCCCTTCCGGGGTGTGGTTGCGAGTTGGTGTTCTGGTCTGGAGCTTAGAGCTTTGGGTTCTCGGGATTTAGAATAGTTTTTAGGGCTCAGGGTTTCAGGGCTAGAGTGCTAGGGTTCAGCTTTTTAGGGTTTTGTCTAGGCACCTTTTTTGTGGCGTGGCTCGGGGCGGTTGTGGATTCGCCGGTCCTTCCGAGCCATTCCTGTCCCTCCTTTCCAAGCGCCAACCGGGCGTCGGCTTCTGCAGCGAGAACGACCGGAGTATGGCACCAGTGATCCCATCGCCACCATTTCAAGTAGGTCGAGCTCATTCCGTCCCACGGTCTGAACGCCACTCGATTCTGCACGTATCATCACTGCGTGGGTCCCGTATCACATCTCCTTGATCTTGGCGTGGCTTCTGGCGTGAGTGCATGAGTCGCTTGCTGCCAGCGTTGGCGCTGCCAAAGAGGCGAGGTATGGCAGCTACTTTCTGCCACAGTCGTTCGTTTAGGTCTGGCTACGGAGATCGTATGAGTGATCGCCATGGTGCGAGAAAGCTGGTCATCGTCCCTGCTCCGGGTGCTTTCCCTTTGTGCCGGTCACTCTCTACGGGGCTTACTCAGACTCAGATTGGGTGCTTTGGAGCTTCTATACGGCAACCACAGGAGGTCCCGATGGGTGATTGACCCTGTGCAAAGAAATCTTGGGGAGCTCATCCTGTTGGGGGAGCTGAGGCGCCTGTCCACGCAAGCCGATACGGATTCATCCCGAGTCGCGGGGTGACATGACTGTCTTCCGCAGCAAACTGCACCATTGACGTCAATGCATGCCACAATTTCTGTGACCATGGGACCATGGGCGTCACGGGCGTTGCCTTTGACTCAGACACAGACCCCGCTCATGTTCACAACGCTGAACCCTGTCATGGCCCTCCCACAGCGTGAGCGCTACTGCGAGCACCACGTGCACCTCGCCATGGTGAGTTTGCCTCGACACTCCTCCACCAACACCTCCATATCGAGGTCAAGCCCTCGCTGCCGATGCTTTGATGAAACACTCAGATCTGGGCATTTCGGGATTCGGGGAGGGGCGGACGAGGCAGCGGAGGGGGCAAGTTCAGAGCTTGGGGCCCCAAGCCTCGTGAGTGTAGATCAGAACCATTCAGAACCCAAAGCTCAAGCCCCGAAGCCTTAAACAAATGTCTAAGCCGTATCCCCCCCAAATTCCGATAAACCCTAAACTCTAAGCTGCATGGGCTGCATGGTTTCAGGCCGAAGCTCTGGGCACAGCGCAACCTCACATCACCTTCAGCATCAGGCGGCCTTGCAGAGTATGCGAAAGTTGGCTTAGATGCCCATAAACCCTGAAAAAAAAGAAAAAAACCTAAATTCGAAAGATCACAAGGACCAGGAACAAGCAGCTTAAAAGTCACAGGGTTTGGAGTTGTGTTTGTGTGTGTGTGTGTGTGTGTCCGAGGCCCGCAGTTGTTCTCGGTGTACTGTCCTGACAGGGATTGTAGTCCCCCCTATAAAGGACTGTAAGGACTGGTATAAGGGGGACCATCCCAAGTTTAGGGTTTAAAGGCTCAAAGTCCCAAAGCTTCCACGCCAAGCCTACTTTAGGCAACACATCTCGGAGCGCGAAGCGTTTGTGCAAGTTGGGTTGTTGGGTTCAGGTTGGTAATTTTGTTGACTTCTGTTTTTGTAGGAGGAGGGGGGGGGGGGGGGGGGGGCAGCGGGAAGTATGCACGGCAGACGGTCGAATTCCCCAACCCACCATGCCTTGCATGGGGGGAGTGTGGGGCTTAGGGCATTTGTTGGGCACCCATTATATATAAGCTCCGTAGGAAAAATCAAGAGGGGACCATAGCAGAAGTAAAGCCGGCTTACGTTTGATTTGGGGCATTTTGAGTCGAACGCGAGAATCTTTCCCGGACAGGCGGGCGATGGCTTTGTTACGGTCTACGGGCCACACCATCGGAACCGAGTCCTCGCGGTCCCTGGTGTTCCGGGTGAAGCGCCTTGATGCGCAGGAGACCCTGATCCCTAAAAGCCCCCAAAAACCCTTACTTCTGAAAAAGTTCCAAGGAGTCGTATAGAACGTACTCTTGTTGCAATTGCATCACGGCCGGCGACCTTTAGCTGTCCCAACACCCATCTAGAAATCCACAGGTACCCCTTAGGAATCATCATTTGAAGTAGGCCTGCCTATCCTTCCTATACTCCTTCAGCCGAAAGCTCCCTAGACATCCAGGATTCTTGGATTGGAAGGTGGAGGCACCTTACGTCTTATCATAGCGGGTGGATGCGGGTGGCAAAGCACTTTGTTACAGTGCGCGCGTGGGTCGAAACCCTGTTGCTTGGGCTGCTGTCGCTGAGCACTCGAAGGCCCAAGTCGAGCCCAAAGCCCGTTTTAGGCGAAGACGCCTTCATGCTCTGATCGGACAAGAAGGACTTATGTACGGTCCTCTAGGAATAGGCTGCTATGCGGGTGCTAGGTGGTGTCCGAGGAAGACTCTATTAAAAAACCTGAGCTTTACATTGCACGCCTTGGCAAAAGGCCGAACTGAAACTGCGCCTCACCAGGACCACGATCCAGCAGTAGATGTGTGGCTGTGCTTCCACATGTCCACCATGTCACTTTGGCTTTATCCAGCTCTCTTAATTGCCATGCACTTGGGAGGCGTATACATGAATCCGGGAATCAGTGAGAGGCAGTGCTGGTCAACTTGTCGTATATGGGATTAGTCCCTGACACTGCAGATCAATTCGGACCATGAAGCGTTCCCTACCATATCGAGTGTGGCAACTGTTATCGCCCAAGGGTTCTTCCAGTACGGGGGCTGTGCAGCAAGGGCTCCCCCAATGCTTCACCTCAAAAGACAGCAGGAGAATGTGTGAAGGGGAACTGCACCTAGGCTGGAGGAGACGGAGAACGTTACGCTGATGTCCCGAATGATCCCGGGCGCAATCTGGCATTCTTTGGGGGAGATTGGCTGTGCCGCCACCTCGGGGGTGCGTATTGGGCGGCTTACGGGCGAGGCATAGGATAGTATGGGAGTTTGGGTTGAATACCCAAAGCCCCCAGCAGCTGGAACCCTGCTCTTTTGAAGGGCTGTGGGGGCAAGGTTTGGGCCAACCCTACCGCGCAGCCTCGTCGATCCGCTGCAGAAGATGCCCTTTGGGCGACTGGTGCTCTGGGGACCTGCGCAGCCAGAGGAGGTGACGCGCTTGTATTTGAACTTTCACGACACTCGGGCTGCCCTTGGATTTAGGTCCTGAGGATGCTACATGCTTTGGCATTCAGCTGGCCCCCGTGTGAAAAAAAGGAGTGCCTCACCAGAAAGCCCAGGAACCTGCCGCAGACTTCATGACCACCTGCCGCGGTCGGAAACTGCATGGTAAGAGGATGGAGTTCGAGGATGAGGTGCCCTGCTCCCAGCTCAGCCGCCAGGTCGCGGAATGGCAGTTCCTTTTGCTTCAGCATTTTGTGCTGTGCGTGTGTGCACCCATGTAAGCCTATAATCCCCACACCCGACTAAAGACGTAGTCAGCTTATTCGCAGCTGACGTGCTTAGGTCTCCTCATGTCTTCTCACGGCGTCAGACTTGCTTGACAGGAAGAAATCTGCTTGAATTCATTGGCTTCTTAGACTTTTTGTGTGCACATTACTCCACGAAGCGTGCCATGTCTTACCTGTAGCTTACTGGTTCTTCCTTAGTAGCGAACCATAGAATCTCTGAAAGTCTTAGCAGGTTCTGAAGACCTAAGCTCTAACTCGACAATCCGACGACGCATTGTCAGGCCACGTCGCGAGCTTCGCCACGCGCTGGCAGGCACTGGACCTCGAAGACGAGGTCAGAACCCTTAGTGTTTTTAGGGGACTTGGAGGTTCGGCGTCTGTGAGGGGGAGGGAGAGAGAGAGGGATAGAGGGAGAGAGAGGGAGAGGGAGAGAGGGAGAGGGGGAGGGGGAGAGGGGGAGAGGGGAGAGGGAGAGAGGGAGAGAGGGAGAGAGTGAGAGAGGGAGAGAGGGAGAGAGGGAGGAGAGAGAGGGAGAGAGGGAGAGAGGGAGAGATGGAGAGAGGAGAGAGGGAGAGAGTGAGAGAGGGAGAGAGGGAAGAGGGAGAGAGGGAGAGAGGGAGAGAGGGAGAGAGAGAGAGGGAGAGAGAGAGGGAGAGAGGGAGAGAGGAGAGAGGGAGAGAGGGAGAGAGGGAGAGAGGGAGAGAGGGAGAGAGGGAGAGAGGGGAGAGAGAGGGAGAGAGGGAGAGAGGGAGAGAGGGAGAGGGGGAGAGGGGGAGAGGGAGAGAGAGAGGTAGAGGGACGGAGAGAGCCATGGAGAGAGGGAGGGAAACTGCATGAACATTTCTCATGCAAATTAAGTTTACGTATATGGTCTATATTTATCATAAGACTATTGGACATATCGTAATGTTGTGAAGTAAGTGTAGTCCTCGAATTAAAACTGTAAACTTGAACAATAACAACTTTTTGAAGGAGAGACGGCCGGGAGGGGAGGGAGACCGTGCCAAAGCAGAACCCGGCAACCGCCAGGGGATTGAGGCTTCTCTTCTGCACGCAGAAAGGCAAGCATGTGCCATGCAGACCTCGAAGCCATAGCCACAGTTCCCAGCAGCAGACAATGATCACCCACTTTGTCGGGGCATGTCACGATGAACCTCGGCGAAGTCCCGAACCCTAAAGTATGCACTATGACTTCGATCTGAAACACCTGTATAACCTGGAGGCTCACAAAGCCCTCCATCAGTTAACGTTCAGAAAACCCTACTCTACTACTGCTTGCTCCGAGATCGTCATCCCCAATCCGTCAAAACCCCTTATAGTTACAGGCCCGGGACCGCACAACCCTACAGTGAACCCCATGAAGCCCCAGGGCGCCCCGCAGGTTAGGATACCCTGAGCTGCCGCAAAACCCTTCAAAAGTGACAGGAGGCCCAAGAGGCGTTACAAGCCACGAGCCACCTGCAGCGCACCCGACTGCCTGGCCTTACGCCTGCGTCCACCTCCAAAGTTCTCGAGGTCCAGTGTGAGGGTTGAGATGAAATTTAAGGTTGAGAGTTTAGCTGCTTAGCTTAGGGCTTTTTTAGAGTTTATTGAGTACGGGTGATGCGCTTGCAAGTTGGGGTGAGTGGAGGGTTTCCGACCGCTGTTGGAAGGGGATGTGCACCTTGTTTTTTTGCAAGCACATGGTTTGTCTGTGGTGTGGTGCGTTCGGAGTACTGCGTTTCGTAGATGCATTCTGGGCGTAGCCTATCCTGACACACCCTCAACTCGGGTGTCGGGTTAGGGAGGAGATGCGGGAGCTCCCCTACTGCCTACACCTCTAGACCTTCCAGGTGCTGCGGGCATCCCTTGAGCCAGAGCCACCCCGGTACAAAGTGCGCTGGGAAGGCCGCAATGAGGACCTGGCCCAAATTGTGTTCAATATTACTTTGATCTGATTTCCCCATTTTTAACGAGGTGCTCTTTGCTGTGAAGGAGACAAGAGACAGCCCAGGGTTGAATGGTGCGCCCCTTGTTAGATCAACGGGCCTGCCTTTGATTAGGACCCTTTTCCGTCTTGTTCAAGGCGGGTTAGTGAACCTGGATGCCCTTCAAGACGACATCGCTGAGAAGTGCTGAGTTTCCTATAGTCCCTGAAAACAAGCCCTTCTGGGTCCATTTCTGATCTCCCCGACTCCCTTCATAAATCATTCTTTGTACCAAGATCCTTGCTCAAGTTGCCTAACCCTCTGCACAGCCCCCAGGCCTAATTATTGAAAACACTTCTCGACCCCGAGCATCTTGTTTCAGGGACACATGAGCTCCAGAAACCATTTCTCGAGGACTCAGGGCCCCTCCTCTGCACGTCGCTGCTCTGGCGCGGCGACCCGGAGGCAGACCTGCTCCAGCCGGTCCTTACGTGACGTGGCAAGATTCCGGGTTTCGGGATACTTTGATACTTGTGCTTGGAGTGTTCAGGGGACTGTCTAGCCATCTGCTTCTCTACTCCCCGGCTTCTACGGCCCCTTCGAACCTGTGGGTGTAGGGTGTCAGGATTCAACATGTGGAGTCTGAGGTATTCAAGTTGCTGGCTGTGGTGACGATTCGGTATCAAGAGTATTGAAACCCTGCAGAACCCTTGAAGCCTGAATTCTTCGCTTCGGGGGCCCTCTGAAACTCTGAAACCTTGACAAAGGGAGCTCGGGAGCCTGCCTGTGCGGTCTTTGACCTGCGGCGCGGCGGGCGAAACTCCTCGTTTTGCGACTGGGCGTAACATGGGCTTTGGGCTTGTTCCAGGCCTTAGACTTTCAGGATTTAGGGGTTTAGAGCAGCTGCTTTTTTTCTGGCATTCCCCACCCAGCCCAGATGGAAAAAAGGGCGGCTTCAGGGTGTAGGGAGGTTCGGCTCAATGTGCAAAGTTGTAGAGACTTGAAGCTTCGGTGGCCTGATGTATGTGGAGCCTCGTGCCTTCGGAGAGTTCCAGCTGCAAGCCACCGACATGCGGGGCAACGACCCTTCGCAATGACAGACTTGAGTGAAGCATCGAGTAGCGTGTGAAGCCATCTAACTACAGCAGAGTGATGGCCGTTTGTTCACTTGTTTCGTTACTTGGTTTTCGCGTGGGGATATGTAGGCGGGATATGGCGGGATAGTCTTTTGTCTTTTAGGCCGACTTAGGTATACCACCTCTCCTGAACTTGCAGGATAGGCCAGTCCACAAACTTCAACGCCTGACAACCCGACAAGTTAAAATCATGCCTCAGGCCTTCAACCCGTAAAGCCCTTAAGCCCACACTAGTCCCAGAGCCCTTGAAGCCGTCGTATATACGAGAAAGCCTAAAGCCCTGGACGCATAAGCCTTTGGATCCCCAGGTCTGGGAGGATTCCTGGACATAAGCCGAGCGCGGACAAAGAGATCCTGCTTTGCTTTCAAGAACTTTGTGGAGCTGAATGCTTCGGGATCAGGGTTTGTAGGGGCTGTTCCAAGCGAGAGAAAGCACATTGGCCATGTCAGACGATGAGGTCTCGAAGTTGTTTGGAAACTATGTTGTCTTCCCTACCCTGGTGGTCCTGTTCCATTTCCCGACTTTGTTCTTTACAAGGTGCGACCTAGGCGGTCTAGTGGAGCTGTGGTTGTTTGCGTTTAGCCTAGCTGATGGTACTGCTCTGATGACAGGAGCTGCCGAAATATTCGCCCCGGTCGCTCTTTCGCTCGTTTGCTTTGTTTGATGTCGTTGTTTCGCAAACATCCTCTGGTTCCAGCTGTCCGATGAAGGGGTGGCCTCCGGTTGTTGTTTTGTTGAAATACGTTGTACGTTGCCGTATACACCCTAAGCCGATCTAAGAGACGAGATGAAGCGCCAGACCCCCGCAAAACAAAACAAAAAACAAATAATTAAATAAATATATATATACACATACATATAAGAATTACAGTGAAGCAAGCCCAGAATCAAATCCCATCACCCCAAAACCGCACCAAGCCCCTTTTTGCCTGCTCCTCGCTTCAAGGTTCAGGTTTTGCAGAAAGCTTAGGCCCTCGGTGCCGGGTGTTGGGGTTGGTTGACGAAATCATGTGTCTCCAGCATGGAAGAAAGTGGCCGAGGTTCTGGAGGTCATTGCTGGTAAGGCGGGGGGCTGGGCCATTGCGCAGGGCTGGCTTTTCTGAAGAGTCACTGGCATGCCCTGAAGTCGGAGAGAGGGCCACAAATCTACAAACGCTAAACTCCGGCGTCAACATTGGCCAAGATTGGCTTTCTTTGGAGCGAGTAGACCTTGTTTGTTCCCAGCAGCTCTCCGTGGGGTTGCTGATGCTGCGTTTGGGGCTGGTTTTATGAGGTTTAGGAAGTTCAGGCATGGCTATAGCCCGCCTCAGCACAAGCTCCCAGCCTGTCCAGCCTTTGGACGCCGTTCTCGAAGAGCGACTCTGCGGTCCCCTAAAGATGCGCGACACGGGCTTCAAAGTGCCAAAGGACGGGGTTCAGGGTTTTGGGGTTCAGGATTTCGGGGTTCAGGGTTTAGGGCAAGTTTAGGGATTGCGCCTACGGTCAACAAGTCCCGGACTTTGGGAATCATGCTGGGGCATGCAACATTTTTTCAAGGCATGACCTCCTCATCGATATGACCTTAGGTCCAGGCTGGGCACGCCTCTTTAAAGGAGACCATCCAGAAGAGAGTTTCACTTGGGCTTGTTGATGCTTGCAAAAAACTGGGCTCTTGATATCTGAGTGTGTTCTCCAGGAGCACGCCAGCAGGATAGGGCCGCTGGCCCAGAAGGGCATGGGAGCAACCTGTCCACCTGCGCACGCAATCCCTTACAAACGAGCGTCTCTCTTCTTTCAAAAGGACTGCTTCGTGAGGTGTGCAGTGCTCTCGGTTTCGCGAATTGGTGTTACCACAGAAAGACCTGAACCCTAGCCCCGAAAACTACAGACCCGACGCACTACGCCTGCAACCCGTTTAGCGTGTCCGAGAGCTTGAGAGTCGAACCCCAACATCCCTCAAAACACGCGCTCCTGGCAATCCTAAACCCGAGTTTTTTTTTACAAATTCCGCCTATGTGGATTCAGGCCCTGGTACAAGAGCGTGGAGATTGAGGGCAAGCCTCAAATCGCTCACCGCAAGAAGCTTGGAGAAGTGAGGAACGCCACGAGATGTTGAGTCCATGGCTGTCTCACAGCTCATCTCGTAGTTTGACATAGCAGAGGGTCTCGAGGTGTCCAAAGTGTCTGTTGTGGATACTAACGGGGACCTTCTCGCTTCTCCCCTCCTACAGTGCCCCTCCTGGCGTCTAGCGACTCCTTACTTCACTGTGGGACGGTTTAGGAATTCAGGTTGTATGGCGTTTAGAGCTTAGAGGCCTTATATGATTATGTTTCCTTATGTTACTACATATATATATATATATATTTGTTTACTATATTATGTTGTTATATTCTGACCTTGTTATGATCTTAGCCCGAGGCCTTGATGTGGTGGACCCCGGCGGCGAAAGCAGCGGATGGGCTTGCGACTCAGCACCCCCGAGCACCCAGAGCATATGAGCCCCAAAGCCGAAACCCTTCTGTACACCCTATCAGCCCTCTTAAAAACCCCGAAAAAAAACTCACAAATCCTACATAAAAAAAAAACCCTCTTATGAACCCCATAAACCCGATGATAAACTAGAGGTTCTGAGATGGTGTGTGCCTCGCCCGGCTTGTCCGAGTGTGAGGGATTAAACCCTACACCCTTAAGAATCTGAAGAATCGCCTTTTTCTCTCCTCCAAGCCTTCATTCACTGCTGCGCAGAATACCCGGTTGTACTTCGATTGGCCCAGAAATATCGTCTTTGTCGGCTCGGAGGCTGCCGGAGGGTTTCCCTATTCTTCTGGGCTTCCGGGATTGGGATGGCAGGGTGTCCTGTCTCTTCGCGCCTACCTGAGGCTTGGCATCCTCTGGGGGGGGGGGGGGGGGGGGGGAGTTTATTATTATTATTATTATTATTATTATTGTTATTATTATTGTTATTATGATGATGATTATTATTATTACCATTCTTATTATTATATTTTCATTTTTTCATTTTGTTGGGGGGGGGGTTCACCTGTGGAGAATCACAAGCTCTTGTGAGAGAGGGAGGCGTATGTAGCAGTTGCCACGACTATGGCGGGGACTTCTGCTTGCTGAACCGCTGAGGTCCAAATTCCCAGAAACCCTGAAGCATCTAGCCGCTCTAGCCCTCAGCAGACAAAACTGGGAAGTAGGGAATCAGCTGCACTATATATATATATATGTATATGTATCTATTTATTTGTATATATATATATATGTATATGCATACATACATTATGTATCCTTCAGTGGAGCATGCTTCCCCACTCAGAACCCCGCAAGTCACCCCACCCGTGCATGGCAAGGTCGGGAACAATGTGTCCAAGGTCTTGCCGGGAGCTTTGACATCACAGCAGTGGTTCACGGTCGAACCAAGGGTATGGGGTGTAGCTACTTGATGGTTGAGGGTTCCGTTCGAGGGATTTGGGATTGAGGCTTCTTACTGTGGGGCCTGTAGGGAGTATAAACCCCTTGTGGAGACATGGTTTACACCCCCATGATGGCAGGTATCGCCCATGAACAGCGAGTTTGACGAAGCTTTTCTTGCTTCCGTGCCTCAAAGAAGAGAGACTGTAGGCCTTCCAGTTTTCGAAAACGACGAGCCCAAAATCGCCCATGCAGATCTTTGTGAAAACGCTTACCGGGAAAACAGTGACCCTAGATGTGGAGGCATCTGACACCATAGACAACGTGAAGTCGAAGGTACAGGACAAAGAGGGCGTACCCCCAGTCCAACAACGATTGATTTTTGCTGGCACGCAGTTGGAGGACGGCAGAACTCTATCTGATTACAAGATCAAGAAGGAGTCAACTCTTCACCTGGTTTTACGCCTGCGTGGCATGATCAGTGTTTTCAGGCCTGGGGCACAAGATGATCCTTTATCTGCTTTCCTAATGCTTTCGGACGAAGATCGGGCAACAGCAGGAGTACCGCTGGCAGAGCTGCGCAAGAAGTGTCAGGAAGAAAATGCTTCGGCATTCCACACCTTTTCTTTCAAGGAAGACGCCCGGATTCTCGATCCCTCGGCGCGCAAGGTCCTGTCCGAGTTCCTGGACTACATGTGGGGACAGGAGTGTTCAGCAGCTGGTCCTCCTAGGGTTGACTTGCGCATGCACGTTCCTGACGATGTCTTCCTGTCCCTGCTTTCCATCACTTCATCCGTCGGCCCAGAGGTTCTCCGTCTATTGAGAGAGGCTTTCGCTGCCATACCAGGAACTCCGGGTGCTGGCGCATTGCGTTCGAAGGTCGTTCTGCGCATGACGCGCGGACCGAGCAATAGCTGCATCAACTTCCATTGTGACGGTGGCTACGCAACAGGTACCGTGCAAGTTGCTCTGTCTGAGCCTTGGGAGTACAAGGGTGGCCGGCTCTGTTTCTTCGTCATGGATGGCTTACACGTCCTTGAGCGCCCGGCGGGCTCCACGTGCCAGCATCCTCGCACCGTATTACACGGAGTCACAGCCCTGCAAGAAGGGACACGCAAGAGTTTGTTTGTGGTTGATACGGAGAACGGACTTGGAGAAGAAGGCGTGGTCTTGGCATCTCACGTCCATGTGCAGGGATTCCAAGCCAGTCGCGAACTACCACAGGTGCAAAAGTGCTGCTTGTGCTTGGCGTTGCCCTCCGATCACGCCTTGCTACCATGTGGCCATCTATGCGTTTGCGCCACCTGTCTAGCAGCCTCTTGTCTGGATGCATGCCCTGTGTGCAGGAAGTCCGTCCAGAGCACGGCCAAAATCTTTGTATAGCTTCGCGAGCTGAAGCCACGTCCTCCAGGCAACGGCCGGGGTAATTTATTCTGGGCGGAAGCTTCTGGCTGATATTTCATTTTCCGCATAGGGGGGGTGCATCAGCCACTCGAAAGAGTTGATGTACCTAGGTTTACTCGGCACGCGCAACGAGCGTCTTGTACAGATTGTACAGCCTAGAAGCCTAGGCTTGTCTCGGGACAAGCAGCTGCCTGGTTCATGGCACGGCGGCTTCGTGTGATGAGAGATGTGTGCTTTGCCCCTCGGGCACTTGCACCGCTCAACGGACAGAGGGGACTTAAACAAGAATCTAGGCTCCCCATCCAGAATTCGAGCGCACCTTGTTCCGGGACCTGGCAAAGACTGAAGGGCCTTTCTCAGCGAGACGGGGCCTAACATCAATCGCTGTTGACATAGCTCTCAGACCACGAAAGGTGTGCTTGGTCCCATCAAGGTCTGCCGGCGGCACTGTGGACGTCCCCCTGGTGATGCGAGGGGGCATGGCCGTCCGCTCAGCTTATTTGATGTAAGGGCCGCTTTCGGAGGCTCATATTCTGACATTCTGAATGGTTTCGACTACGAGGCTCTGCAAAGCTTACCCATCCTATGTGAGTCCTAACATGCGGACTAGAGAGTGTGTTTGGGGTCAGCTTTCGACACTCACCTTGCATGGCTGGGAGTCGGGCCCGGCTTTGTTTGTATTGATCATCAAGTTATCACAGGGCGGCCTGCAGCAAAGGCTGTTTCCTGATAGAATCCTTGTACACCCTTCTACCTGCTGATCCTTGTGGAGCATCGGTCTCGGGTGCCTGTTTTGAAGAAAGCTATACAGTTGCAAGCAAAGCCAAGATGCCCTTGTGGCTCACAGGTCAGCACCTTCAATGACTACCTTCGCTTCCTGATGATGCTGCGGAACTTCGGTGAGCTTTGGCCTTGAGATCTTTTTTTGGAGACTTCTGGTCGCGTAGGAGCATAGTTCCTGCATGTTCTTGCCCTATGTCTGGATGCCGCCTGCACACTTGATGGAATGCCCGATGCACAGGGGGAGAGGTCTCACGGTTTTTGTATATGGTTCACAGAAGGCAAAACAATCTCTGACGGCACATGGGCTCACCGTGACATCGCGCGGAGCCATGAAATTTAAAGGGCATTATATGGCCCCGACTTCTCTTGTTCTTGGGTTCGCTGGACCGGGGGTTTTTCATAACTGGCCATGTGCACGGCTTCGAATGGGACCGTTTCGAATGTGCAGAAAGCCCATCGAGATCTAAACACGCTGATGTCTATGTCCGGTAGCCAAGGGCTGTAAGACCCCCATGAAGGGCTCTAGACCTCGCTATCACTCTGGCTCACTACTCTAACCCTGACGTAAGGCTGGATGGAGTTCGGGTTCTCAAGCGCGAGACCGTGCAGCTGATGCCCAGACCCAAGCCGTGGGTGCTTGTGGAGGTAGGTATAACTTATAACCCTAAATCTTAAATTCTGACCTTTGAAGTTGAGCTAAGGAGATAAGGAGGAGGCGTTCAGGGGAGTGCGTTTTTCAGAGGGCTCGCCAGAATAGGGCCAAAACGAATGCACTTTGCACCCGCCCTGTCCGCACGCCCAGTGCAACAGCGGAGCTGAGGATCTGCAACCACATCCCAGTGGCAAGTTCCTCAGCTGGCGGCTGCTGCTGAAGGTCAAACAGATGGCTCCTTCATCCGCCCAGCAGGAACCCCCTGAAAGGTACCAATGTTTCGGAGCACGCCAGGGATTCGAGGATGTCTGAAATCTGGCAAGCTGAGAGTCGAAGCCTCCTCCCCTTCCCCAGAAGAGCGCTTCAACAACTAGGTTATTTGCCTGGTGATGTTCATGTATCTACATACCCACCTACATATTGGTTGTAGACAATCTGCATCCGCGTATACATACATGCTCACCTACATGCCCGCCCGGATTGTTGGTTTCCCTGTTTGTGCCTGGAATAAATCTCAAAGCGACCTAGTTTTCTGTACCCTTGGGTCTTAACAGTAGTGGAGCAGGTGGGCAGGGTCCACTTGCTTTCACCTGGTCTATCTTCCGAACGTCATTCATTCTTCCTTATCTTCAGCTCTGTGACTTATCCAATTCACTTTCCCTTTGTGACTGCGGTCTTTCCCTCCAACATGTCTGTCGCCGAACTTCGCTATGTTTCGAGCCAGATGGCCGGACCTGCTATTAACACTCTACTGTCTATCATGTGCGAATGAATATGTAGATGAACCCCTCGACTATGAGTCTCTATGTGCATATGAACATACTTAGGTAATCATGTAGTTACTGGACAGACGCATATTTGCGCACTCTGCAAGAGATGCATCTGGAAGGGTTGCATCCCTCTGCAAGATATACATCTGAAACTGTTAGTGTTAGTGGCACATCTTCTGCAACTCATTGTATAGCTCACATGCCGTTGCAGGCTGTTGGTTCACCACGATCGTTAAAAGTCATGCCGGCATTCTGTTAACTACCTATGAGAGGTTCATGTCTGAACGACTCGAAAATGCACACTGACAACTTTCAACGTTTTCGGGATCTTGGTTTACGCTCTGGAGGCTTTGAGAAGGAAGCCAGATGTTATCACGAAGTCATGTAGATCCTTATTGGCAAGGGTCTTCAGGTCCTGGCCGAGCAGAGTTGTGCAATTTTCGGCGTGTGAATGAGTTTTGGCTTCTTTTTACGTGTTGAACTATGATGGTTGCTCACATTCAGCTACTCCACGCGCAGCTGATATTCCAAATCCCCCCCCCCCCATTCGGGACAGGGGTCCTCTGTTGGGCTTGGGTTCAACTCGGGTTTGAGCAGGGTAAGACATGTTTTTTGTCACGTTCCCCTGCCATCTGCTTCCCTCTTGTGAAGGCCTGCTACGGGAAGAAGACCGTCTTCGTCTTTGACAAGCCGGGTGTGGGTTACAACTGCTGAGGGCTTGGCATTCGCACACCAAGCCTGCATCTCCAAGGTTCCAAGTGTGGTTGCAACAGAACCTCTTAAACCCATCACCTCGTAGGGGTTGTTGCCGCTGCCACCGGCGTCTACTTCGACGCTTCGGCTGCTGCCGCGCCTGCTCGCACTCCCCACCACATCCCAAGGTTTGGGTCAGATCCAGGCCGCACATCCGAAGCAGGATCGAGGCTGGCAAGCGTGTTCGCAGATGAAATTAGAACTCCCCACGATATTCTGGGGTGTCGAGTGATTCAGTCGGGTCGTGGTCATCCTGTATAGGATGATGTATTGTTGCCTGGAGGCAGGGGTGAGCCATGTTGGTGCATCACGACATGCCTTGCAAACAGACGGGCACTTCAATCGCAGGGCGAAATGTTCAATAGTTTCAGGCTCTCATCCTGGATAGTGTTGGCACTATGTAGTAGGGGAAGCATGTCTGGATTGTTGTCGATGGGAAGTTGAGTAACCTGCATAATTACACTAACAAAATACATCATCCAAATGCATTTTTTCAGCCTTTGCGAGCTCATAGTCTCAGTTGAAGCTGTGTCATACCAACCGAAGCAGCTGCAAATTGCTCCCGCTGCCGCACAGATCAGAAAGCCCCGAGCCGCATTTTTGTGGAGGGCGCTGCCCATTTCGGAAAAGCGCCCCACAAAAGGCTGAGTCAAAGCTTTAGGCGGGTCCATGGTGAGGGCAGACCTAAAAGCCAACACCCATCTAGAACCCATCAACGACGTCTTAAGGTGCTAGCTGTAGGCGCTCCTTGAGCCTCAAGCCCTCCGCCCGGCGGGTGCAAGCTGCCCCCCGCGCAATGGAGCTCGCTGAAGTGCTTGAGGTGCTTTGTGGGGTTTCTTCTTCTTAAGTGTCTCATCGTGTCTCCCCCTCTCCCACCTCCCGCGCCCCCATGTAGCCTTTGAGCTGTACTGCATGCAGAAATGCAGAGAGAGGGAGAGAGAAAAAAACATATGGAAAACACATACACACACACACAAACACACTCTTGCTACTAGTAAAAACGCTGTTCAGGTGGCGGATTCTTGTCCATTTCTCCCAAGCCCCTACATCGAAAGGAAATCAAACACAACGAGCTTTCGGGGGGGCTAAGCGTGCAGAGAGAGGAAGAGAGGGCCCTCAAGTGCGCAGAAGTGCGCAGCAGGAGAAGAAGAAGAAGAAGAAGAAGAAGAAGAAGAAGAAGAAGAAGAAGACGAAGAAGAAGACGAAGACGAAGACGAAGACGAGAGTGACACAGCGATGGCGAGAGTATTGAGGGCCGTGAGAACAGCTTAGCAGCTCACTCGGAGGAAATCAAACAATATGCCTGGCAGCAAGTCGCACCCCCGTATGAGGGCATCCCCGGTCTGAGGGCAGTTGGGGAGGCTTTCGGGAGGTGGTGTGTGGGGGACGCGTGGTCTCTGAGTATACGCAGATGGCGAGACAATTCATGAATTAATGGAAAGCATGAACAAACGACACAACCTACCTTCCGGCCCGAGAAAACCAGAGCTAAGTAAATAAACATGCAAATCGGGATCCAAATCAAGAAAGAGAGAGAGAGAGAGAGAGAGAGAGAGAGAGAGCGAGAGACACAGAGAGAGAGAGAGAGAGAGACGCAACGAGTTTTAAGTTTTAACTCTCCCGCTACAAGTGGGGGAGCGTGGACTGCGCGGGGGGCTTGCCCCTCAGGCCCAAGAAAGAAAGAAGTAACGAAAGAAAGAAAGAGAGAGACAGAGAGAGAGAGAGATATAGCGAAGGCACCGGTTGTTACTCATCGGGGATGAGCCCAGCAACGACGTAAGGACACTGCGAGCCTCAGGCCTCAAGCCAGAAAGCCCTGAACCCGGCCATCCATCCCCCGAGCACATCGAAGCTATACACACCCCGTTTTATAACCCCCCCCCCCCCCCTAAACCAGAAACTGAGACCTCATGGTACCAGAACAATGCATCTTGCGAAACAAGTCCCGAGAGAGAGCCCCCAAGACTTGCCGTCCTCTACAGTAAACCTACCAAAGCCCTCTCAAAGGCTCCCTAAACCCTAAACCCTATACCCTATACCCTATAAACCCTAAACCCTTCCAAAGAAACAACATCATACACAGATCTTCCCAGGGGTTGGGGCAACTCCTCGGCTCCCACGAGCGGCAGCGCCCGGGCTTGATGAACACAAGAGATTGGGCACGCCAACTAGCAGCTTACGGGCCATAAGGGCTTAGGGTTTAGGCTTAATAGGGTTTGGGGTTAATGGGGCTCAGGGTTTAGGGTGAATAGGCTTAGGGTTATAGGAGTTATAGGGCTTGAAAGTTGGGGCGGGGGGGCGGGGGGGGGGAGGTGGGGGTTCTGTTACAAAAGGTATAAAACAGTTCGGAGAGCTTCGTTGTCTTCAGACATGAACTATTCCCAGCCCTGCAGTGCTTCAAGGATGCAAGAGCTGCTGGCCGGGCACCCAGGGGATCTCTTCGGCGGAGGGTCGTGGAGGGGACTTTTGATGCAGACTTTCTCGGATTTATGGAGTGCCCTGGAGTCTCCTTTCCCCTCTCCTGATCTTCCCCGCGATCTCTACATCTGCACAAGAAGTGGAGCTTCCTCCACTCAGGAAAAGCCTGTAGTCGTTCTGAAGAAGTGCTGTTTGGCCTCACAGGACAAAGTGCAAATAGCGAATGGGCGATGCTTAAGCATGCTGTCTCGCATCTCCATATTTCAATCGTTTTGACACACTCGAAGCGTCGAAACCCGCCATGCAGCCGTCCGTGCCTGCCCCTTGCAGGGTCCTGAAAGGTGTGCACAGTGTGATTCCTTCCCACCTGCCGTGGGCTTCGCCTCGGCACATCAGGTGGCAGGCTGATCAGCGGGCCACTAAGGTATTGGTACCAGCCCTCCTTACAGTTACAGCCCGCCTTCTCTCGCAACATCCAGGCAGAGCCTGGCGAAGGTCTGCCTTGCGGGCCATCAGTCGGAAGAGCGGTCAGGATGAGCTCCCACACGGTGGGCCGACAGTCGTCATCTCCGGAGCAAGCCAAGGCACGGGCAGGGCCTTGGCGCTAAAGTTTGCGCAAGATGGCTTCAACGTGGTGCTGGCAGCTAGGGATCCAGAGAATTTGCTGGAAGCCGAACGTCTGTGCCAGGAAACCCTGAAGCCGGGCAGACTCGCCATGGCTGTTCCCTGCGACATCACATCCCCAGAGTCTGTGCAGCTTCTGTGTGACAGCGTGGCGGAGCGCTTCACTGATCTGCGTGTGGTGGTTTGCAACGCAGGAGTGTGCATGACGGGAGAGTTTGCGGACACGTCACTTGAGGACTTCCAATCCCAGATGAATGTCAATTTTCTGGGGCATGTTGCGACCGTTCGGGCATTCCTGCCGCTGCTCCTTCAGCACAATGGGTCGTCCAACCCTGCTCCCACAGTTTGCTTCGTAAACAGCTTTGGTGCTCGGGTGCCTTTGCCGGGAATGACTGCTTATTGTGCAGCCAAGTATGCCTTGCAGGGCTTCGCGGACTCGCTTCGGCTCGAGCTGACCTCGAAGGGAGTGCACGTGGCCACAGTGCACCCCGGAGTCATAAGGAGCGACTTCCGCACCCGTGCGCAGTGGCGGGGCTCAGCCGCAGGCAGCCGAAGGTCTATGATGAACACGCTGTTGGACGGTCAGTCTCCTGTGTCCGGGGTGACCCAGTCGGTGGAGGAGGTTGCTGAGGCTGCCTTCGAAGCTGTCAAGACACGGCAGAACGAGGCGAGGCCGATAGCTGTAGCTTTTTGGGTTCGTCGGCTCATCCTGCATGAAGCGATCCCTTGTTTGTATATGGTCAGCTCTCTAAATGATAGGCCTTGTTTTTGGGTACCCTAAAGACGAGGGGCCGCCTTATAACCTCCCCAAAAGGGGACCATATTTCAGCGAAGTGACCATGTAGGTTGTGGTGGGCTTGCCCTTCCGCACCATGCTGGCCGCGTACGGCTTCGGCAAGGCACTGGGCATCGCCTAAAATATTCAGGCCGCCGCCTGTCCGTGGAGAGTGCACTTGTGAGAGCTTACGGATTACGGGCTTTGAGTCGAAAGAAGGGAGCCGGACAATGAGGGTACTGATTCAATCGGACTCTTTCTTTCTTACATCGGGACTGTGAAACAGTGCAGTGCCCTGGATGATTGAACGTAGGACGTAGGGCATGCAAAGCTGACGGAAATCTTCCAGAGCCAAGGATACGCCGTGCCGAAGTCACTGGCAGTTTGCGCTGCACGCATGCCATGACAAATCTGCCGATGCGACTGCTCATGTTTATCTCAAGGGCTGGCCGGACTCTGGGATATTCCCAGATTCCAGATCATGTCCACGCGCTGCGAAGTGAAAGGCAACGCTTAGCAGAGGCTTAGCAGGTCAACTATCAGCAGCCACAGTGTTCGGCGGTGCTTCTGCGCCGCATTGAGGCCTTGTGACGCCTCAGCTAAACTGCGAAGCCTGAAAATAGCCAAGAGCTGCGGTACCCGTACCCTGAGCCACTCACCCCACGCGCTTGTGCGACTTGTGGGTACGTAACCCGTAACCCCAAGCTCAGCACATTTGATCGGCTTCGAGCCTTGCAAGCCGAAAATCCCTCATAAGTCAAGAAGCCCTCCTAACGCCCTGCTTTGGGGCTCTTTTGGACTCCAAGAAAGGTCCTCAAACAGATGGGCCCACAGACAGCAAGCTGGGGCTTTGGGGTTTTGGGGTTTTGGTTTTGGGGTTTTGGGGTTTTGGGGTTTTGGGGTTTTGGGGTTTTGGGGTTTTGGGGTTTTGGGGTTTTGGGGTTTTGGGGTTTTGGGGTTTTGTTTTTTTGTGCTTGGGGCCTTTGAGGGGTTTTTGTGGTCAAGCCTCGAAGGGTGACTTTCAGCCCAACCCCAGAACGGGAATTCCCAGAAGGTCGTGCAAACCAACACGAAGATCTCTAAGCAGCGATCTTGAAAGACAGGAGAAGGAAGGGCGAATCTCCTGGCCCGAGGCTCTGCAAATGCAGTCCATCGAGGAGTCCTTGCGCCGGATCGCTGAGATGAAAGACTTCCAGGCCGGGTTTGGAAAAGGGGCCTCATGGGCTTACAGGTGTTTACAGGGTTTTCGCGTGGGTCCGTCGAATCAAGCCCCATATAGATGCTATACGAGCCATGGGACGAATCGATCTTGGCCTTGCAAGAAGCGACTCTTCTTCTAATGGCCCAAGAGTCGGCGAGGCTCAAAGGCAGGGCTTTCAAAGACGATGCCCCGAATGTGCCCGGTTTTTAGAAGCTTCCGCAGTTGCTGATTGGGGTTCGAATGCCGCTTGAGCTTGCGCTGAAAGTGGAACTGCTTGCATCACATAAACAAACGTAGTCCGCATAGTCCTCACAGAGCTGGTGAAGCCGCATGGCGAAGGTTTGACAGCATTGTTGTATCTATAGCCTGGTAGACAATTGGAGCAGGACCCGCTTGGTTTAAGCGACCTTTGGTTGGCCATGGGTTCGCCTTGTTCCGAGCAGCCGAAATGGATCTTTCACAGGCCTTGCAGGGCCTCTGGCAGCGAGCGGCCGGCGTGGGGTCGCTGTGCAGCTCGTGTACGACTTTCGTTGTGCCGGAGACCCATCGCCTGGCTCGCTTCGGCAAGAAGGTTCGTGGAAAGTCCTCGGACGTTGAGAAGAACCTGGAGTTCGCCGCTTCCAGCGACGAGGCATCCTTCCAACGCTCCTCTGATGGTATCGCCGCAGACGGGGAGCTCACCCCAAGTACCCGGAAGACTGCGCTTGAAGCGATGCGAAAAGTGCTCCAGCGGGAGGAGTTTACCCCCCGTGCGCGAGCCGATGAAGACGGCTTCGACATGGGTCCAGAAGCGGACGACGACGTCACCCGGAAGCTGCGCACTCGATTCCTTGAAGCTGCACGCTCTGGCAACTTTCGAGGGGTCGTGGAGGCTCTTTCTGAAGGGGCAGACCTCCACTGTCGCACTGTGAGAGGTCAGAACGCACTGATGCTGGCGGCTGCCTGTAGAGGGGGGAGCCCCCTGCAGATCATGAGCTTTCTGGTGGAATGCCGAGTTGATGTCGAGGTGGCGGACTCCCACGGCTGGACGGCCCTTCTGCACGCCTGCCGTAACGACATGAAAGAGGCAGCGGAGCTGCTGCTTGAAAGCCAAGCCAATGTCAATGCCAAGTCTGCCGATGGCCAGAATGCTGCAATGCTGGCCGCCGTGGAGTCGGGTGATGATCTTGTCAAGCGGCTCGTAGGACGCCGGGTTGGGCTGGAGCGTTCCGATCGGCGTGGCTACACTTTGCTGTTCTACGCAGTGGAGAGCGGGCGCGATGATCTGACGAAGTGGTTGCTGAAGACTCGGTCCAACCCGAATGCTCGCGCGAAGGACAAAAGCACCTGCACCATGCTGGCTTCCGAAAAAGGTCTTTTGAACATCTTGAAGGCCCTGATGGCCAAGAATGCGGATGTCAATGCACAGGACCTCATGGGCAACAGTGCCTTGTTGGTCAGCGTGATGGCGGCCAGGGACAATGTGGCACGCTATCTCCTCAACAATTCTGCGGACTGCAACGTAACGAACAAGGATGGCACCACAGCCTTACAGGTCGCGGCGAAGCTAAAGCTGGGGCCGCTCAAGAGCCTCCTGGACGTGATGTCGCGCAAGACCCAAGACCGAGGTGGCGAAGAGGACGATGACTAGCTGACTGGCTCCCAAGAACTTCTCACGGCAACTCGGGCTCGTATACCGTATACCCGACAAGATCGACGCCCTCCCAACGTGGGTAGCACTGAATCACTGAATCTGAAGCTCTAGACCGGCGATGTAGTTACACGGGACCCCGGATCCGCAGATGGTTGCTCCGAAATTGGTGCGATCTGATCCACGATGCGGTCTCCAAAATTTGGGGCCGGCTGGACAAAACGTGACCTTTGCACATCCTGAAATCCTGACCGGCAAGCCTTCCTTGCCTACGAAGATCGAAAACACCCACACGACTTCTCGGATGAACCGCCTAAGCCCTAAACCCGAAACCCTAAACCCTAAACCCTAAACCCTAAACCCTAAACCCTTCCTGGGCAAAGTGGTCTGAAGGTGAAGGAGCACAAGGAGCCAAGCCACTCGCAAGACCTTGCCCTCCTCAAATTGGATCGGCTGGGGGCTTGGAATTCTACTAAAGCAGGGCCCTACTACGGTCTTCTGGGCCTTAGATAGTACTTCATTATGCTCATTGCCTCTCTCTATACATATGTATATACATGTCAGAAGTTGACGTACAGTCGATTCACGGTATGGCTTCGGAAAAAAGTCATATAATATGTAATATGATTCGTATGTAATATGTCATGATCTCATCTAAATTGACCGAAGAGGATGTGAGACTATATATATATATGCATATATAAGCGCGTTTACGGTTCAGACGTGGCCTTCGGGACTGGAATATCGAAGGATGAGGTGGCTCTGAGGTAGTGTTTTTTAGGGCGAAGATAGCCTTCGAAATCCCTAGCAATCTGGAGACCAGATGGGGCAGGATGTCGAAGCCAGCATGTTGCGATGAAACCACCGCTAAAAGCACGGGACCACGATCTTTGCCGCAGTCTCTGTACCTGACGCCAAGGTCTTCTCTTAGCGACATGGGGTCGGATGAGCACCTGGTGCAAAACTACATCGGGAAGGATGCTTCGTGTTGGGGTAGACGGAGTTTCAGTTCAATGTCAGGACACACCTGGGGTGAGGGTTTCAGCGCCTGCTGCAAGTCCAGCGGCCACAGGCGCGGACCTGGCAAGTTACTGGTTTGTGTTGGTGCCGCCCGATGCTCGAGTTGGCGAACGGCCGCAAGCATGCCGTCGTCACCGTCGTCATGTGGTTAGCAAGTATCACTGGGATGAGTAATCGCATGTGTGCATACTCACATGTGTGTGTATAGTGTGTACAGGTACGCAATTCGCATGTGCATCTGAGTAGCAGGGTGAGATGTACATATATGCAGATATTGATAGATAGACATGATCGATAGACAGTATCGGGACAAGCCAACCAGAATCAACCAGGGTTCAGGCTTCAAAGCATGGCTTCAAAGCATGGCTGAGTGCTGAAGATCTTGTGTGCCGTGTTGAGTTTTTGGGACGCAGATCTGCGGGCACCGCGCTGGAACATAGACCCGCTGCGGGAGCCATGGCTAGCAATGAACAGGAGGCGGGTCCCTACCAGCGCCTTGACATATTGTCAGCATTTTTTGTTGGTGTTGGTGAATGAAGGGCAGCGGCAAGAAAGCCCGCTTCACTCCTGGGCTCGGTTAAAACATGTCAAGGACTATAAGGCCCTTCATCTGCGGACTCCTTCAACTTGTCACATGTAGGCCTACTGGCTCTAAGTAGGGAATGAGGGAATTAGGTACCTTACATCCCCCTCTCTCTTCCCTCTTTGTATATATATATATATATACACCAGGAATAGTACAGGGTAGCTCCTTCCTTCATTCCCTACTAAGAACCAGTAAGTAGGTGCTTCTTCACCAAAGAAGCCCTGGACCAGAGCCTCGAGGCCGCGCACGAGCGAGCTTCCCAGACTCTGCGCGAGCATGGCCTGCGCGTCTTGCCCACGGAGCCCCGACCGCTGAACCTGAAGGAAGCTGCGCTCGGAGAGTCGACTTTTTGCCTTCTTTTCACGTGGATATGTATGTAAGGTTTTTGCAAGTCTATATGTGTCATCATGTCGTGTGAGTCTTCTCCAGTTTCGGACTGGGACAGAGAAAAAGTAAAGAGGCAAGCAAGCAAGGAACAGGCACACAACACAAGCAGGCAAGGAATTGAGCAGTTGGCACCACTTGTTAAGCAATGCCTGGAATGAAACTGTTGCGCACGACCATAGCACTTATGCAAATGGCCCCCACCCACTCGGCCCATCACCCCAAATCCGGCGAAAGAAAGCCAAACCCGGATCTCTCAAGAGCCTCTCCAGGAGTCGTGCGATCTGGTGGTCACTTGGCCTGCTGCAGCAGATGTTGATCGACAGGAGTTAGCCAAGCAAGTTCTCAAACGGAGTCCATGCGATGCAGGCAAAACGATGTAGTAGCGGAAGGCAGACACTTCTTAATCCGGTGCGACAGGCCATAGTAGATGCTCTCCCAGCCATTACCAAGCCGTCGCCAACCCAGGTGTTCTATGCCCAGAAGCTGCCGGACCTTTGCCGGCTTTGCGCTGCCCCGCCTGAAGTACTCTGGACGGCGCTCATCTTCTTCAAGAGGTGGGAGACGCCATGGCCTTCATGAAAACTCTAGACTCTAGCTCGATTTTGCAAATTTCTACTGGGCTTGTACAGCCACAAAACCCAGCACCTTGAAACCCTTCGAGCAGAGGTCAGCAGAGGATGTGCCATCGAAACCGCAGGTTCTTCGCCGCCTCGTCCCCCATGGAGTTCGACCCCCTCACCATGATGTTTACCTGCGTGCACGTCGCCTGCAAGGCACAAGCCGTCGGCGGAAAGCCACTCCGGGGCTGGTTGAGCTGGGTGTAGGTGTACAGGGCTTTTGTGCCTGAGCTACGCCGTGCTCTATGTTCAGATCACGCACCAGAAGGCTTTGTGCCAGCCCTCGCCCTCTTCAGCCCAAAAGCCTTAACTAACAGTTGCAGCGGCAGAGAGAGAGAGAGAGAGAGAGAGATCCCAAGACCCTTTGCCCGCCAATATTGCCCGGATGTGTCACTCCCTACCACAACACGTCTGTATCACACAGACAGACTCGGTATATCGTGCCCCCCGGGGCGGCCCCTTTCGGGGTCACACGCTCCAAGCAAGAGAGATGCAAAAACCGGTTATGAAACCTCGCCTGGTTCGTCCGAGTGATGAGCAATTCACACTCGCCGCCCTTACCAAACAAGAGCCGAAGGACCACAAACACAGGCCCAGTTCTTGAATACAGAACAGTGCAGCATCAAACAAAAAGGCGGGCGCCTTCTCAATTGGCGTACCACAGGGGTCCATCATGTGGATTTACCCTGAGCCCAAAGACCTTGGCAAAACACCCTTGAAAGCAGAGAGGTGGAGGAGTTCCGCAACCTTACCTTGGACAAACTCCTCGAGGCTGGTGGCTTCGGAGAGCAAATGCGGCCACGAGTCGTCGACCTGGATCCTTGTTTGTTTGGCTTTGGGCTTTGGGTTTAGAAGTTTAGGGTTTTGAGGGAGGGTCAGCCTGACAGTATTGAGGCCAGTTGCAAGGGTTTTGGGTTGAGGAGACTCAACGACTTGGGCTCAGGAATTTGTAAACATTGTAGGGGTTCAGGGTATAGGGAACCCAAGGTCAGGATTTGAGACAGACAAGCAGAAGGACAGAGGGTGTGATTTTAAGTACAGAAGTTTGAGCCAGAATGTTTTCTGCTGAAGGGTTGAGATGGGTGCAAAGCATGGGGGGGTCAAAGAACTTAGGGTAGAAGGGATGGCAGTAAACTTCAATCATCATCTCTGACTCCACGGAGGCCACCAAAGAAAAAAAGTGCAGGCAACTCCTAGACCCAATGCCCCCCGATAACCCTTGAAGGAACTCCAGATACCTGCTTCCTCAGTTTCTCGGGTGGCACAGTAAAAGCACCTCTTCAACCCGATTGCCTCATGAAAGCGACTGCAAGTAGAGGAGAGTAGGACATGAGCCTGGATCGGACCCACGCTTTGCCTGCCCCATGCGAGTGTGAATGTCGGAAATCCTGCAAAGCCAAGGAGCTTGAACTGCTCCAGGCTTTGGACTTCGAGCTCCATGTGGAGCCAAAGGTGCGACCCTCCTTACGGGTCTTGGGCCAGGAGCTCCAGTTTGCATTTCTTGTTTTAGTGGGGGGTGGGGGGGGGGAATTGGGGGGGTTTCGTTGCGTTAGCATGGGATCCCTGTTCTGCTGTTGCTGGTTTCCCTAAGTCCCAACTCCAAGCCAGAAGCCCAGGAAAAAACACCAAAGACCCCAAAAGGGTTAAGGAAAGCCTTGACAGCGAACCTTATCACCTTGTGGAGTCGTTGGGTTGTTCAGGGCTAGGGTTTAAGAAGCCTCAACCACAGCCTTAGCCTTAGGGTTTGGGGTTAAGGGTTGCGGACTGCTTTGGGTCAGTAACTCGGCTCTGGGATGTTGGACCCTGGCGGAGGAGCTTCAGGCCCGGTCCAACATCGCAGACCTGGAGGCCGTGCGCTCTCCTAAACCCGAAACATCCCGCAACCCTGGAGCCCAGCTTGAGACCTCTGGAGCCTTGCCCTGCGCGTGCGCTAGTTGTGGGAGTCGAAACTCTAAACCCTAACGTATACTGATGGCTCCGTGCGATAACTCCCCCTCCATGTGAGAGGAGGCCATAGACAGGGCCGAAGATCTGGTACTGCAGCTGTGTGCCAGCACGACGCTTGGGCGACCCAGGTCGTTTCAAGAGGCAGTTAGTGTTGATTTTGGGTGACGGGGAAGAAAGGGTTTCATGAAGGCGAAAATGGCTTAATGAAGGGTTTAGGGGCTTAGGGCTTACATGAGAGAGAGAGAGAGAGACAGGGGTTCGTGGCTGCAATAGGGATGTCCGAACTGACCCTTCCACCACTACAACAGTAGCACAGGGTACAGTGGAGGGCATTCGACTACGAAGTAACTCCAACCTGTGTTCTCAGTTTCACAACCGACTGGATCGCTTGAGCACGTCCCTTGGGACGACCCCCTCGGGGGTTATGTGCTGTGGAAGGAAGGAAGGAAGAGAGAGACAGAGAGAGAGAGAGAGAGAGAGAGCGAAGGTTTAGGGCTTCGGGCTTTGAATGGTCAGTGGAACCTTGAAAAGCAGTGGCCCTAGACACTAGACCCTGGGCCTGGGAATAGCAAAGCCGAAGCCCTCCAACCCGATGTGTGTTTACATACATCTACACATATACGCATATGTGCTTCAAGCAACAGGTCATATGTGAATGTTTGTCGAAGCTATTGATATGTCACGCGAGGCACAACCCCAGAAACCCGCGGCCATGACCGTGCTGAGGCGAGAGCGCGATATAGACTCAAACCAAGTAGGTTGGCGCGGACAGCAGCCTAGCCTTACCCTGAACGTTCGATAGCGTGGGAACATGTAAGTGCACGTGTGTATCTATGCATGAAAAAGTGCAGACATAAATGTAAGTTATACATGTGCATATATATGTATATACATATATATGTATATAATATATATATATATATGTATGTACACATTCTTCTGTCAAAGCCAAACTCAGAAACGCGGTTCTGCAATGGCCGGTCTCCGTCCTCATCGCAGTGGCCTGGGAGGTAGCATTGGAGGAGGCGGTGGCAGAGAAGTCTTCACCAGTGCCATAGCAGTTCAGGGTGTTAGGGTTTAGGGTTTAGGTTTGTTTTTTTGTTTGGAGGGGGGGGGAGGGGCTTGTGGTTCAGGGTTTCGGGGTGCGGGGTTAGGGTTCGTTTCCTTGCGTTTTTAGTGTCGGTGTGCTCTTTTGTGTCCTTTTGAATGGAGGGGCAACTCGTCCAACTAAGTCAGCTGACGTGCCGTTGTGAAGAGCTCAAGTGCAGCTAAGGTATGTTCTTTGTTGCTTGACAACTTCACGGAGGAGAGGCACAAGGTAGAGCTCCGGAACATGTTCCAGGAAGCTGCGCAGGCCTTCAAGCAGTTGAGCTACAAGGTGGACCCTCTTTCAGCCAATAGCAGAGGGATTGTTTCTTTTCAGTCCCCCTCTTTGGTTGGATGCTCCTCTCCCGGCCTTGTCTTCCCTGCGAAACAAGGAGCTCAACAGGGAAGCCATGCAGGAGATCGCCAAGGTGGGACCCTGAACCTTCCCATTGCCGGCTCGGGGTTGGGGGATGCCACCCCAGGATACCACAGTAGCAACACTGAGATCCAACACTCCCATATCCTGAGCCTTCGACCCTCACAATCAGCTCGAAAGCTCCCTTCAGAGGCTTCGCGGAAGTGCCAGAAGGCTTTCGAGCGCATCCGCGAGGAGCACAAGCAGCGGCACGAGGACGGGGGACCTCAGGTTGAAGCCTTGGCCTTAAAGGGTTTAGGGTTTAGGGTTTAGGGTTAGGACCCGGAAATGTAGAATCTAGATTGAAATATCTGGGGACGTCAGACTTCGAGAGCTGCCTTGACACAGAAAACGGGCGGGAAGACAGAGTTCTCAAGAGGTACCCTTAGGACCCACACGCTGGGGGTCCTTTGTGATTCAGGTCTGGACTTGGAATGGTTGTACTAAGTTGGGGCTGTTTTTTTGTGGGGAGCTTCTGTTAAAGACAGTCGACTCTAAACGGCCCCCGAAGGGAGAGGGCGCACTAGTATTAAACAACCCGATCGAGTCAACTTAATCATACTCAGCAGTCACCACCCAGTTCGATCGCACTTGATCACACATGCTCCCTCATACCTCGCCCTAAACCCTAAACCCTAAACGTGCAGTGCGGGTGGCGAAACCCTAAACTCTAAACCCTAAGTGCAAGGCCCGCTGCAACGAGCGAAAGCGGCGTCGTAACGACGCTGGGCTTTAGGGCATCTTCGGGTTTCGCGGGGTTTTGGCAAACAAAAGGTGTAGGAACGCATGCGGGTTTAGGGTTTGTAGGGTGTCGGGCTGTTTCTTTCGGGATAAACTATGCTAAGCGGTGCTTGCCCAAACCATAATACCCCCTGTGACTCCAGCCCCTTTAACCCTCCCAGCACTTAATCACCCCAGAACTGCGAGCAAGAATCCCCGACACCTATGTATACACTATACCCCCTATAGAGACCCTAAACCCTAAACCCTAAACCCTAAACCCTCAGTAAGGACGCCAAGACCCCGAACTTCACCGACATCGAGGCGCTGAAGCGGAAAGCCCAGGCGCTGCGGGGGGATGCGAGGCCCGGCCTGCAGGAGCCGACCAGCCAGTCTCATAAGGACTACGGTTTAGGGTTTAGGGTTTAGGGTTTAGGGTTTAGGGTTTAGGGTTTAGGGCTGGCAATGTGAAACTTTATGTTCTTTCGGCCTTTGTATTTATATAGATATTGTAATCTTAATGTATGGATGTGAAAATGCTCACCCGCCCCCGCCCCCGGGATTCACGCTTTCTAAAACATTGCCAGGTTCGGATGTTCCAAAATTTCCCGAAGCGCCACGTTCCGAGCACTCGAGCCGGCTCGAACTGTCAACAACAAAAACTTGTGTTGGGAATTTGTACCCTTTTGTGCCCCCTCGCCTGCTCTCCACAATAGGTGCCCGATGTGCTTTTGGACAACTCGAGCCGGCACGAATTTCTAGGGAGGAACATAGATCCAGAAATTTGGTAACTTCGAGCCGGTGCGAATCTTCCAACCTGAAAGCACCAGATCACGAAAACTCGAGCGGGCCGAAACCAACAAAAGCACAAGGACTAGATTCTGGCATCTATGAGTCTATGAGGACTGGGGGCCATGGATCCAGAAATTTACGTTTCTCAAGAAGACCTAAATTTTGGGCATCTACGGCCAGAAATGAGGTTGTTTTTGGCAGTTCGACGCTGGTCGGGTATTCGTGACCTGGTGCTTTATAGGATATGTTGGGAAGACTTTAACATTAAAGTTAAGTTAAGTCCCAAACCCATTACAGGCCCCCCGCCCCCCCCCCCCCCCCCCCCCAAAAAAAAAAAAAAAGAAAAAAACACAAAACAAAACAAAAAAGACATGTGGTATAGTTGGAAGGAGCGCATGGGAGGAGCGCAGGGGTGTTCAGAGAATGCAGACTCCCACGTGCCTGGAAGGGGATTTGATCTAGAGTTGGCATTCCATGTTTGCCGTCGAGGACGACATAGCCCGCTGCATGGACGAGGAAGAGTGATGATTGGCAAATTCGCCAAACAAGAGCTCGCCGAATGCTGGGGCTTTAGGCGTAGGATTGTGCAAGTGGGTCTGCCGTTCAGGATCTCCGTTCAGGCATTCATCTCACTAGAGCCGTGTTGCTGACTTCTCTAGTACAGAGGTCGGTGCGGCGAGTAAGCAGAACATTTTGTACTTAGTACAGCTGCTGCTTTGCATCAACTGCAATATTCAGCCTGATGCAGCGTGAGGGGACGGCAAACGGGGACACAACATGACACAACTCTTCTGATGTAGCGTTAGCAGATCGAGGTCTGCAAGCCGCCCTCGAATCTAGCACGCAGGAGATAGTTCTCAGAGTTTCCTTCTCATTTGTATCTACAACGGTTTTTTCCTTCAGACTTCGGGGTTGAGGCTGATGAAGTTCATTTGGGGGGGTGGAGCAGGGGGGAGACAACTCGGAGAGGTTGGTTTACGGAAATGCGTAGGGGTTGCAAACGTGCAGCACATGCAGCGACCACGTTTGCAGATGAGCCGCGGCCGAAACTCATGTGCCGATGGTCCCTCGATCTACACCCCAGGCTCATCGTAAGCGCATGGCAAAGGTCTGCATAGTAAGTATATCACATCTGAAGACTGAAACTTTGTGCTTTTGTTACGCCCTGTCCAATTTGCTTCAATGATAGGCTACTATAGTGCATGCAGTATGCTCGGCTCCTTTGTCAAAGGAGTGGACACCAAGAGCGGTATGGGTTTCGGGCCGCGCGCGGCTGGCGCAAAAAAAGCGTTTGGATGCCTGCATGACGGTTTGCATAGATGGGCCAGGCACTGACAGACTCATGACAAACTCTGTCTACGGCCTACAGTAGATTCAGCCCTGGATCGTAAACCTCTGGAACCCTACAAGCCCTGACCCCACAACTTCAACTTGGTACCGTAAAGCCTTGAAAGCTTCGCCTAGAAAATGCATACCCCAAATGCTCAAAACCCTGCATGCCTGGCCCACCTATCCGCAGGCTCGGGAGGGTGCCGAAGCTGCAACAAAAAAAGCTCATGACGCTCTCCTTGCTCGCTGTGTTTGGGGGCCAGGGAACGAATCTAAGCATTGCGCTGAGTTAGCGGGTACACCGTGAGGCCAAACCAAGAAACCCTCAACGATATACTGCAATACGTATAACTTCCGGGACAAAAACCAACAACAATGAAGGTTTCAGGTTCTGAAGTTGGCAACAGCAGACCCTGTAACCGAAGCCATGAGTCTCCACATAGGGGTTTCCCACTACACAACTCACAGCTGACATCGATTCTCAGGACTCAGCTCAAACGCCTACTTTCTCAGTTTAGGGTTTAGGGTTTAGGGTCTAAGGTTCAGTATTCAAAAGGGTGTGAGGTTCACCTGGGTGCAGGAGCTCTTGAACAGCCTCAAGGTGGAGGTCGAACCTGGTCTCAGAAGTCCTCAACAAGGGGAGGCCTCCGGGTCATGCTTGTCGGGGCTTAGAAGGCTGAAGGTTTAAGGTTTGGAAGGCAGAAGGTTTAGGGTTTAGGGCCGGCACCTCAGAGAGCGCGGGTTCAAAAAGGCTTTAGGGTTTAGACGGTTCAGAAGGCTTAGAATGTCTAGGAGGTTTAGAAGGCTTAGAAGCAAGGTTTGGAAGGTGTGTCTTGGAAGGTCTGTCTGTACTCCTGGTGCCTTCAGGCGCTCTCCCAAGAAGACCTGCAGCTCTCAGGCCCCCGTCCTGGGGTGTGTGGAGGTTTGGTTTAGGGTTTAGGCTTTGGGCTGTAGGCGCGGGCGAGGAGTCCCTACATGTGTTCCGGAGTGTTTTGAGGTCCGGTTTGGGGGCTGGCTCGGGGCTCTGGTGTGTTCAAAGATGTGAGGTTCAGATCCCTAGCGATAAGCTTACTGAGGAGCGCAGCAGTTTTCCCGGACCTGAATCCCAAGAAGGCAAGTTCAACGTTTAGGAGCCTGAGTCCCAAATCGGGTTAAGTTCTAGGAGCCTGAATCCCAAAAGCCAGCCCTAAGGTGCGCAAACCAATCCCAGAGTCTGCCTGGCAGAACACTGCCCTCTCCGGGAAAGTCACCACGACAGAATCCTGCAGCGAAGCATCCTTAAATTCCTTAAATCCCTGTCCCAACGTCAGAATTGCTGCCACATCGGCTGTAGGGCGATCCGGCGAGGATGCTCGAAGTAAATAGTTCAATCTTCTGGCCCTATCAACTACCGGCCCGTACCTGCATAGCTGAGCCCCACACATAAGCTGAGAATCCATGAAGCCCAAGTGGAGCCCCGTGAACTGCTGTCAAGGCGCTGAGGACGACGGAGTGTCGAGCCCCGCGCTGTCGAAGGTGTTGGGGCCCCAGTATAGGGGACCAAAAAAAGCGAAGATCGAAGATGGCAGGGGTCCAATGGGGGGTCGTAGGGCGAGGTCCCGCATGAGCGTAAGCCCCCACAGTTCACAAAGTCAACGAAATCAAAGCCCAGATCGCCAGCAAGCCCGAAATGCCCTTAAAGACCGCAGCGCTCGAATCCCAAATCCATTGAGCCGTGCTGTTGTGGGCTGAATTCGTGCTCAGAGACTATAATGTTTTAGGCGGAACGTTTTTGTTCGCAGACCTCACGCCGACTGCAACCACCCGAGTCTGCTTCAACCCCCCTCGAGAATCTAAATGGTTGCTACCCATGCATGCGGTGGATGCAGCAGACCTGGCATCGGCCATAACACTCCAGCAATACTCCAGCGAAAAGCAAGCGTCATGCTCACGCCCGCCGGCATTTCTTAGAATTCTCCAGGGCGTCCTCTGCTTCGGCCTCCCAGACCTTCTACGTTGAAACCTCGAAACATTTTTGAAGATGCAACATGTATGAACCTTTGTGCTGAGGTCTGCCTCCCGAAAGGAACTGCAGGAGTGGTTCTACTTTTTTTGGGGGGGGGGGGGCGGGGGAGGGTGGGCAGGGTCAGCGATTCCCAGGTTGCTAGGTGTTAGGCAAGTGGAGCCGATCCCCCACAAGGACCTGCATGGGAGGCTGGGGATAGATCCAGGTCGGGCCATGTTCCCCTGCCAACGAGTCCGTAAGTCAAGCTGCCTGAGACCACAGCTGCGCATGCGCTCACGCTCGAAGGACCTGGCCCAGCGTGGCACGGAGCGGAGTCTCGAAAGCAGCGAGAGTACTGTCCGCGGGTAATGGGAGCCCCCCGCATGTCACAGGCTAGCTCGGCTAGCTTGACCGCTGATGAGGCTGCCCCCTTATAGGGATAAAGATGCCGGGGGAGCGTGCGATCGCGAACATTGTGGTATGAGTGGCTTGGAAGTTGCCTCGGCACTGAGGAGCAATACCTTCCACCTCCCAGTGACGGAGTCCTACCTCAACACGAAGAACGTTAGGAGGGCCCTGGGTGTCCCTTACATTCAACGTCTTTAGATTTCACATCAGATTGCTGGCGTGTGCAGGCTTAGTCTTAGTAGATTACATTGTAGATCACTGCAGGCAGAATAGACCCGGGAAGGGTATAGCTCTCTGCTTTTGGCGTAGGTCTATGGGACTAGTAGAAATCCTCTCGAAAACCCAGCGAACTTTGCAGGCCGGCTCAGGAATCCGATTAAGCTCGCCACACAAATTGGTGAGCTTACGCGTCTTTTTATCAAGAAGCAAGAGTAATGTGGAAAAAGGTTGTTGTGGACCTGAGGCCTCCTACACAAACCCTTAAACCCCTAAAACCTAAAACCACAAAATCCAAACCCTAAGCCCTGGAGGATCGACCGAAAGAAGACGGCGCCTGGGCCAGTCATCCGAGAGTTCTTGGCAACCCTTGTAGGGTTTAGGTTGGGATGTTCTCCCCTTTTCTGACAGTCCTTGATAGGGATTATAAATAGGGGGTTCTAGAATCCCTATTAAGAACTGTTAGTATAAGGCCAACTTATAGGGCAAAAAGGAATTACGATGGCCCTGGGCCGGCAAGGCCCCTTTTACATCACTATGTCACTATGTGGTATCACCCATTCCAGAATCCCTTTTCGCTGGAATGATGCATCCCATTTTTCTTACTTGACTCGGCACTATTTACATGCCTGCTTCCAAGTCTTCCTCCGTCAGGGGTTTAGGGTTTAGGGATTAGGGACTCGGGTTTAGGGTTTAGGATCTTCATAAAGCCTTGGCCTCGTATTTGGAGGCCAGGGTGCCCCACGATTCAATGAGTAATCAAAGGCACAGACTTTGGCAGAAATGATGCCATGATTTTTCAGATTCCAGGACCCCCCCTGGCCGGGGCGCTTTGGGGAATCCCTTTGGAGGGCCCCAACACCTCAAAACCAAAACGTCTCATTGAGGTTTCAATACACATAGGCAGGGAAGGTTTAGGGTTTAGGGCTAGGGTTTAAACCTTGAACCTAATTTGGGTTTTCTGGGTTGTGCCTTGGGGTCCCACTAGTACCCTTACTCCCTTGTTTGGCTTAGGATTCCTGCTAACCCTACAATAGGTGCTGGCTTTTTCATCCTGGGTTATTGGGGAACCTAGCCAAGCCTAATCCCCGAAACTTGAAAACCCTAAACCGTGAACCAGGGACTCCTAACCATAATCCCGAAGTGAACGCGAGTTCAGCTAGAGAGGCCAGGAACCAGCAAAACCCTCCCAAAGCGTAAACCCTAAAATCTGAGATGCACCCATGCTCAGACCCAGGAGCGCAATCTGAAGGGAGTTCGAGGGAAGCTCGACGACTTTCTGCAAAGCAGCCCCCTGGGCTGTGTTTGCTTAGGGTGTCGGGTTGAAGGCTCAGGGTTTAGGGATTTTGCAAGTTTTGTCGCGCTCTTCCGTTGTTCGGAGATTTGGGCGAGAGACTGTAGATGTCCCCTCTGGGGCCACGACGAGGAGGGCCTGGGATCATAGTCTCAGCCTTGGGCAACTTCCAGTTCTTGTTTGAGAACATGACGCTTGTGAATCACAGGCTCGCCTGTGAATCCTGAGGTGGTGGTAGCCTAACGGGCCTAACACGTATGTGAGAGTTGGTCTACATGAAGGGACTGATTAAGAACAACTCCCCCGCGTTTTTGCCCTGAGGTTGGAGGGGGGGGTTCAGACTTCTTCAAGTTTAGACAGCCGCTCCCCAGACTTACTTTTGACATACCTTTACCGCACCACGGCTTCATGTTGCAAGCAGCCAAGGCTTCAGCGAGTACTTGGTTGCCGTCATCATTGTTGTGAACTCAGCTATGCCACTGGCCCTGCACGAGCATCCTTTGGCTTGTTTGGGCAAAGATTTCTTCAGCAAGGGCCTTAAGGCAGACGTGACAATGCCCAGGTTTGGTGTCCAAGCAGATTTCGCGGTCAAACATCCTTTCGAAGACGCTCCTGCTGTCTTCGGATACATCAACCTTGCGCCCCAGCTGCCAGTGTCTTCCCGAAGCCCTGAAATAGTCTTAAAGAAACCTCAGCCGAATTACTCGTCAGAAGGGGGTTCAGCAAGAGGGTTTTGCGGCGGAAGGGGTGGTGGAGGTGCGTCGGGGTCGTGCTCGGAACAGATTTGGGCTTTTTGGCCTTGATTACAATCTTTAACACGTTTACACAGTTATATAGAGATTTTAGTTTATATATATATATATATAAATATGTACATGTTTTGCAGGGCTACTGCAAGGGACCACATGCTGATCCTCGAATCATCCCGAATATCCCGACCCATTCTAGAGTCTTGGCAAGGAATCTATGGTTCCTAAACCCCAATTGTCCAGGCGTTCAACATTTTTTTCATCGCCGAGTTGTCCCTTCGACTGGCAGCCTATGGATACACCTTCGTCCCCCGGCTCGCAGGGCTTTTGGGAGTTTCAGGGTGGTTCATTTGCGGCCGCTCATCAGGTTAGGAGGGGTTTCTTAGGGGATTTCTCAAAGGCCCCTAGCGGGCTTGGGAGGCTGAGGTTAGAGATTTTGGAGTAGACTTCAGAGTTTATTGGGGGCTTGAGGGTTCAGGGATTTGACCTTGACTTTGACTTCCCCCCTCCCCCCCCCCCCCCCTCACCCGCCCACCCTAATTTGTTGATGGTTTCGAAGGGCTGTTTGGACATAAGGGGCCATTGCCGAGAAAAGACTACAAATCTGGGTACAAGAGAGAGACTCTGGCGTTTAGGGATTTTGATTTTGCAGCCAGAACTCAGCCTACCGGTGCCTACACATCCGAGCACCCTCAGCCCTGTGCCATCATTCCCTCATTCCCAGACCTGCACACCTGGAGGTCTCCTGCTGGAATCCAGACTTCAAGTGTCCGAGCTGCACTGCATTTGCCACGGCAAGGGCTTCAGGGAGATTCCTTGAGAGTCCTGGAGTGCTGCTGAGAAAGATCGTGAGGGCAAATAGAATGCGAAAGCGTTCTGCCAGGCTTGTACGAACCTTTTTTTCCGCTCGCCGCAAAATCTCCAAGGTGGAACGTTTTGGACACGGCCTTGGTGTCCCTGTCCCTTTTCGAAGAAGTTTATGGCCGGATTTCTGTGGATGACGATGGCGGCCGGCACTTGGACATGTGCCTGGTGTGCAAAGTCTTGCCGGGGACGGGGACGCAGGTGGGGAGGGTTGCAGGAAGACTCGAAAGCCTAGGCTCCTAGACTCTTGATCAACAAAATGCTACTTGCAGTTCGAGTTTTTGTTTCGCTCAGAGTTATTCCCCATACACTCTGCTGAGCCAGTCGCCTCAACAAACCCCAATGCTTGCCCTAGCCCCTAGCCTCCAGAGTGATTTGAAATCCTTAGTCGTGTGGAGTGGAGAGGTTTCAGTCTAGGCTTCGGTGTTCGAGTTCGAGGGAGCAAGGCAGAAGTGCCCGATGGCTAAGGACATCGGCGAGGGTGATGCGATTGCTGAGGCGGGAATTCAAGCTTGGACACGGCGTCTTGCGCTTATAGGGACGATGACAAGAAATAACAGGCAAGCCCATGCCGTGTTCCTTGTAAACCTTGCACGTACGACACTCATGCTGCGGGCTTGGCGACCTGCCTTGCAACTCCTGAACCAAGAAAACGTGACAGAGTACCTTTCAGAGAGAGATCCTGCCCTGTCATGCCCTCACAGGACAGGAAGTCCCATACCACCACTCTACAAATTTGAAGTTTATTCTCTGCCCTGAAATCCTCTGCCTCAAGCTGCCAAAGGATCTTTAGAAGCACAGAAAAGGGCTTTGTCCAGGCTGGTCCGCGTCATCCGGGTCTTCCGCGTCCTGCGCTTCTTCAGCGACCTGCGGATCATGGTCATGGGTGGCTTCGCTTGGAGTAACTGAGTAATTATCATTCCCGTGCCACTCCTTCTATGTCCAATTGAACATGACACTGCCCAGGGACTTCTTCCATAAGGGTGGCGCCCCACCTTGGACTCTCCTGATAGTTTAGGGAAGACCTATACCCGATGACGACGCTGGAGGCATCATGGGCTCATTCAAAGCCCTGTTTTGGGCGCTGCTTCTTCTCTCCATCATCATCTACGTCACCGGCACCCGCAGCTGAACATACCGAAGCCACACAGAATACCGAACCATGATTGTTAGTGTTATTATTATTTATTTTTCTATTACTATTAGTAGTATCATCATCATTATTGTTAGTATGATTATGATGATGATCATGATTATTAGTAGGATTCAAAGCCCGTTTGGCGAGAGAGCTTGTGGGACAGGGAGAGTAGGAAGGAGAGCAGGGCGGGCTGAGTTAGTAATCGAATATGAGCATCCGCAAGTCAGGCATCATCATCCTTCAGTTCGTAGCAGACGCCGCCGCCAACCAGCATGTCGGGACTTGCAAAAAGCTTGGGGGGGGGGGGGGGGGGGGGGGGGGGGGGCACTTGTGGAGGATGTTGCTCGTGCCGCCTTTTGCGATTCCAGCAAAAAAATCCCTATAAACCCTTCAATCCCTGCAAGGTGGTCATGGCTCCAGGGCCCGAATTCGAGGGCAACGCGATGTTCAACTCGCTCGAGTCGGCTCCCAAGAGACTTCGAAAGGGCGCAGGGAATGGAGACTTTTCAAGGACAGGATGCTGAAGATGCTGAAGTATGCCCACAATATCTTATGCCCTTATAGGCAACATTCAACATATGATCCCTACATGCATGCAAGAGAAACTACATGAAGCAGGCCTCGGTAGTAGGGTTTGGGGTTTAGGGTGAGGTGGAACATGTGGAACCGCAACCTTCGCCTGTATTCTGAAGAGGAATGTGAGTTTGGCTTGCGAAGGCTTATGACCATGTGCTTGCAGAATCGCGCGATCGTCAATGCAGATGTTGCAGAGCAGACAGTTTTTGGTGGGCAGCTTCCTTTATAAGGAGTTTCTAAGGGGCTTATACATCCTACTGTTCGAAGAGGCTTACACCGGATACCTGAAATTGTCCTTTAGGACGGTGATTCTTCGATTGAGCCACGCACGGAGGATGTTTGTGCAGGCCTTAAGCAAGCTTACGTGGAGGCTGCAGAGCGCAGAAACGCCGAGAGCGATTGAGCAAGCTACTGCGCCCAGCTGATGATCATAAGGGGAATGTGGGACAGCCTTGTTTCAAGTGATCTGCAAATGGTCTATCACGCCGAGCATGTGGGCTGCCATGCACCCGTCTTCATCAGTCAGCACGTCCAGCTCCAAGGCTGGCGTGATGTGTGTGTGTGTGTCTAGATATCATATATGGCAAGATATCGGGTGTATACAATATAGTGGTGCACAGGGTTCAAGTGGCCCAAGCACGTCAGAGAGTCCTGGGCCCTGCAATCACCAGTTTGAAGGTGCGGAATCAATCATATCATTGCATTATAAACTTCAAACACTGTTCTTCGCTTGCATTTGTGTCTCTATCAAGCTTACCGAAAAAGGGTTTATGGCTTAATGGCGATGGCTCCAGCCATTTTGCCTACGAGGTCCAAGTGGCATTGGTGCTTTATTATCTTTCTGTGTTTCGTCCTGTCACTGTCTCCTTATAGCATTGGGCACATCCGACAAAGAAAACTGCAGCAAAGCCTCTGGGCTATGAGGCAGCTACTGCAAGCTAGCCACCGGCAGTATTAAGAAGCCAGCATATATTAATTCAATGAACCTGCTGTCCAACATTCCGGTTTAATAAGGACCGTAGTCGGAAACCCCCATGTGGCTCTTGGCTTTCCCACTCCAGACAGATGTAGAAAGGATTCCAGGGTGGATTTGCATTTATTTTGCCAAGCGTTTGAGTTTAAGCTTTGTGGTTTACTTCCTGATACCGTAGGACCCAGGTAGGAACACTACAGTTTAGCCTTTTTCGTTCCGTGGCTGGCAAGATGCAGGGTTTTTAGGGTTCTAGGGCACGAAAAGATTTCGGCGGTTAACATCTGATCCAGAACGCCAAGACAAAGCCCTCATTTTGCGCCCTTCGAGTCGAAGAATCCTGGAAGCCGCGCTAGGGGTGGGGCTGCGCAACTAGGGTTTCTAAACTCCAGGGACAACATCGTTTTTGTTGCTGAACCTGAGGCGTTGCTGCTTTACGCTCTTCCTTTGCATATCAGGACCGGGAGGGGGTTGCGAGGTGGAAGTTCCCAAGCACGAAGCATGTTATCAAACATCGAAGGTATAAGATCTTGAAACCCCGTGTCTGAGGCATGGGATCTCTTGTGAAACTTGTCGACTGCCCGCAAGGAGGCATTAGCTGGGTGGAGGTTGTGGAACCGCCACTTGGATGAGTGGAACGGGCCGCTGCTTTGATGTGGAATGTCGTTCGCATAGCATGTTGGCTCACTTCCTCGTATGGAGCCCCCCCCCCCCCCCCCCCGCATGCCGGATAGGAGAGCGGTGTGCACAGTACCAGGTTGGAAGAGGTCAATGGACCCATCCTGGTGCCACTCCTGTCGGGGCCCTGCTCTATGGTTCGCCTCCAACCCCGAACCGAAGCAGTCCGAAGCTGCCCCGCCCCCCTCCCACCCCCACACCCTTCCCGGAAGAAGATGCCTGAGCCTTCAAGGGTGGAAGTTTCAAGGGTTCGGATTCGGGTTCTGGGCTTTTCCGGACTTTAAGTGTCAGCGTACGAGTTGCGAAGTTACTATCGTTCATTCCTCGGAGCCAACTCCCTGGAACCAAAGCCAGGTCACTCTACGTGGCTTTCGCTGTGTTCTGCGTGTTGAACATCGTGCCTTGGACCCAAGCAGCGAGGGACCGCACATTGTTGATTTCCACGTGCCAGCCTGCGCTTGGCGATCACCCGTCAGACACCTCTTGCAGCGTGACCGGGCTTCACCATTTCAGGTGACAGGAGTCTTCGTGGAGAGATCCACCTCCATGCGGGCGATGGATGAGGAGAACATGATGTCCCTCGCAGCGACAGACTGTGCGCAAGCACAAGCGAGAGAAAACCAGAGGGGCTCAACCTCTAAGCTTAGAGCCAAATATGCTTTAGAACTGGTAGGTTCACAAAAGCTACGGTAACACCTGCCGGAGTGAACCAACTACGGCTGTCGCATTCGGATCCCATGAGCTGGCAGCTGTGGTCTCTCACTCTATCTGTGTCTGTACATGTTTATGCATACGGCGGTGTAACCGTACCTGGTTTCTGCTACTTCTCTTGGAGGGGGGGGGGGGTGGGGGGGGTGGGGGGGATAAGAGCGTCATTCATATTGCATGCATGCCCAAAACACTGGTATTTACAGCGTTTTCGCCTCTTTGTACAACATACTGCACAAGGATGTGGAAGAAGAAAATCTGTCACAAGCGTCCAGCCTTTCGCGACCATGCCCAACACACGTCCCACAAAAACCGTCAAAGTCCTGAAATTTGGCAAATGCGTTTTCGGAAATGCAAGCCTCCAAAAAGCACAGCTGCAGAGGCTGTCTTGGCAGAAATGCATGAAAACATCGCAAATTACAGTGTTTGCCGCGCATGCACACAGCAAAGCTGTGAGATTCGCGTCACGACTGCACACACAGCAAAGGAAAAGTCCCATAGCGCTCAAAGGCCCCAACAACAAAATGACCCCCAAATCTTGCAAAAACCCAACGTTTCGTAAAACACGACATACGAAATCACGCCTTTCCAAAAACTCCCAAAATAGGTCTGCCACCTAGGCGAAACGCTAACTTTAACAAAAAATAGGGTACGGTTTCCACGGCGGCGGGATGTTTATGATTCGTTCTTCCTGCCTGTCTTTTTTGCGCACCCACGAAAGATTGTTCTGCTTTCTTCCTTCCTTCCTTCCTTCCTTCCTTCCTTCCTTCCTTCCTTCCTTCCTTCCTTCCTTCCTTCCTTCCTTCCTTCCTTCCTTCCTTCCTTCCTTCCTCTCTCTCGCTCTCTCTCTCTCTCTCTCCGCCAGCCCCGTCTCTCTTCGTTTCTTCTAACTATGGATGTTAGAGATGTGAGATGGAATTGAAGGCCGCGTGAATTTGTGGGTGCTTCATTTGTAATTTTTCATTCAAGAACCAGCAGACAAGAAAGCCCCCCTTGTCACAGTATGGTGCTGGGGCTGCCCAGTATCTAGTCAAGAGTGAAGATCAATGAGGGGTTTCCGAAATTAGGGGTACCTTATTGGGGCCCTTATAAGAATGGAATCCTACATTGTCCCCCTATTTTCGTAAAGCAGGGGTGCCTTATTGGGGCCCTTGTAATAATGGAATCCTACTACTCGGGGGTCTATAAGGGGTCCCCCTATTTTCGTAAACCCCCCCATGATATATCACGGGGCAGATCTCGCAACTCACTGGGCTCAATTCGCTTTTTTGGGGGGGGGGGGGGGGGATGGGGGGGGGGGGGGGATGGGGGGGGGGGGGGGGGGGGGGGGGGGGGGGGGATGGGGGGGGGATGGCTGTTTGCAGCTGCTTTCTTTCAAGACTACAGTCATGCGTCAGGGCCTCTAGCGCTTGGGATGTTCCCCCTTATGCTATTGAGGATCATATTACCCCCTATTGTAATCCCGATTAAGGACTGTTAGTATAAGGGGGAACATCCCAATCCTATCGCAGACGCAGAGCAACGCCGGAAGAACTGCCTTGCAAGGCAGCCCTGATTTTGGGTGGCTTAAGGGGATGTCAGGGATGTTTAGGGAGGGGTGAACTTCCCACCCCCAAAGCCAAACGCAGCTCAGGTTTGACGAGATAGAGAGCCGCCCTATGGCTGCACTCACGCCCCCCACTATAGCCCTCTAACCTGGTTTCGGCTCTTTTGGGGGCTTTTGGGGCTTCAGGGCTATCAGGAATTGGAGCTTTCAATTCCTGTCGTGGCATGTACGGCGTGCAGCGATCTTCAGGGCAGTAAAGCCAGACACCTTGGACCAGAATCCAGAAGACGCAAGGTTTTCGGCGAATCGCCAAATCAAAGACTCAATGGCGTAGCTTCAAAAGGTATTTATCTTTTTGTTTCTTTTTGCTTTGTGAGTATTTGATTGGGGCCCCTTGCGAAAGGGGATCTTCTGCTAGGCGTTCCCACGAGAACCCATACACATCTAGTGCACAAGACCTTCCTCTTGGTTCAGAGGACATACGGCCTTCTAGGGTTCCGAGTGCAGGGCATCCTGCTCGCTTTAGCCTTCGAATTCCCGGTGGTCAGGTAAGAAGTGGCTCCGCGAAATCCGGCACCTTTTCAAGGAAGCGGACAAGGATGGATCTGGGCAGGTGGCGCCTTCACCGCAGCTCAAGGGATCAGGGTATCGGGTTTTGGGTTTGGGGTTTAGGGTTTAAGGTTCAGTCCTGGCATGAAGCAGCTTCCAGGTTCAAAAGGGTTTAAGGTTATTCTTCTAAGGTTTCAGTGGTTGAGGTTCCATGGTTTGGGTGTTCCGGTCCCGGTGCGCTGCTGGGTGAGGAGGTGTTGACATGCTTGGTCTCACCCGAGATGCGCTTCAATCTCATGCTACTGAGGTCACGACACTACCAGGCACGTTTCCCGAAAGCCCCCAGGCTTCAGTGCACTCCTTGGCCCTGCTATTTCGAACGCCTAGAAACCCCTCCGGAGGCCGTGGAACCCCACTCACTCCTAAACCCAAAAAGCGTACGCCGCAACAGCTGAGGAGTGGCAAGAGTTCGAGCTAGTGCTTTGGCGGGCACGGTTGTGCTACTTCGGTCATTCGTTTGTTCAAAAAAGGGGTGTGTTGAAGATGCTCAGTCGGCTCCCGCCCTCGAAGATGTAGTTCCCCTCGCATTTGCTGAAGTTGCAAGTGGCTGCCACAGGTTGAAATGGTTCAAAATATGTGGTCACTTCTCGAAAATATGGTCCCTTTTGGGGTGCTTATTATAAGGCAGCCCTCTTACTTAGGGTACTCCAAAAGGGTTGAAATGCCTCAAAAGCTGCCAGGTAATGGCTGACTTCCAAGCCCAGACCGCCATGAAGAATCTGGGCTTCGACACCTCTCGGGTAAGTCCCCAGGTGCTGTGGCACCTCATCGACTACGACGCTGGGCCTTATGGGTGCTGAGAGGCGCTTCAATGAGTTGTGAAAAGAAGCTGCAAGAGACGCCCCGAAAATTCTGAGATGGCAGTGTGGAAACGGAAGAGATGAAACGATAAAACCCTCAAGAGGCATTGAGGAATCTGATAAACATGCCCCTGCCAGATTCGAGCGAGCTAAGGACAACAGTGGCCAAATTGACATCGAGGAGTGCGGATCTCAGGGCAAGCGAAGGTAGTCCAAAACTGTTTTGGTGTTTCTAACTGGGTGGGGACCCCTGCACAATGGCAGAATCGAATCCCTTGGACGGAAAAAAGAGGCCGCAGTTCGGAACTTCCTGGTCCTAGTTGCTGGATCCACAGCAGCTTTCTTAAAAAGTACAAGCAGCTAACCGACACACGAGCGATGAGAGATAAAGCCGTTCCCGCTTGTCTACAACTCAAAGTCTAAGCCACTTGAAGCCCTAGTAGGGTTTAGGGTTTAGGGTTAGGGTTAGCAAAAAGGGTACTTGAGCCATTAAGCCACGAGACGAAGGTTCGCGGAAGCGTTGATGAAACTCCACGGCTCGGCCAACGCCATTGACATCGCCCGCCTTCGGCACGATACGCGGCGCAGCTTCAACCAGTGACCTTTAACTCAGAGGGTGAGACTGTGAGACGTTATGATATTAGATGTAAGTATACACCATATAGCTCCTATATACTATCACTATCAATAGCATGATACGCTCCTGTAGCATTGTATATGGATATTTAGGATCCTATCTGGCATACGAGCACAGCTCAAGGACGTGCTTCGAAGTCATGCTCATGAATTCAATCCAGTTTCAAACTTGCGAATTCTGCCAGAGCAGGCGAATACTGTATGACATGTTTGCAAAGTTGCCTATGCACAGCAGGGGGAACGAAAGACATGCCCTTTTGAGTCCTGTGAGTGGCCTCAACACGCCTTCTTCCCTGAATACATATATATATATATATATGTACACAAAGCCGCAGCGACAAACAATGAAGCAAGCAGAGAGATAACGGCCATCGAATCAACATGATTTCGGAAAGCTAGTTCTGCTGTCCAACGCTTGTGCTTCTCCAAGCGCATCGCAAGCGTTTTAAAGCTGCGCCCGACGTCCGACCGAAGCCTGTGTCAAGGGCGAAGATTCCGAAGCTTTTCAGCACTGCGAACCTTGTGTGTGGCTTGCTCGCAAGGAGTCACGAGTCCCGACAGAAGAGAAGTTTGCAGTCAGGTTCGCTTGTTTCATCAGGCCAGCCCATGCAGAGTCATCCTGTGCAACTCCCGAACTATGAGGATGCTGAATCCTCATGGGGGCCCCCTAGTTAAAGGTCCGAAAGCTGGATCGCAAGTCAGCGCATGGTGAGAAAACACCAGAGCAGCCGTCGTTTGTAGACTAGTAGCTCAACACTAAGGCCCTATGCGCTCCGAAACCCTAAACCCTAAACCCCAAACATCCTAGACGGGCGGCAGAACAAAACACCTAGCTCACTCCTGGTTCCTGTACTTGCGCATCTCAGGGAGTGCCGAATTCGAGGCGCTCCGCTTCGAAGTGCAGGCGATAAAGGACATGGGCATGAGGGAGAAGCTGGCAGGTGCTATAACTATGTTTCACACATCTTATGACGCTGCGCGACCCGCCCCGGCCCGGGCTGCGAGTTTGGGAAATCTCGACACCTGCATCGAACCGACTTTTGGCGGAGGGCATCTTGTCGGGCGGTTCGGGGGATCCCGCGCACAGGGGCCTCTTACACCCTGCCGGCCCTGCCGAGTACGGGCAGGTCACTTGGGATTGTTATCTTACCGATATGGGAGGGGCATGCGGGTTTACAAGGGCTCCTTTGAACAAGCAAAGGGGACTGCAGCTGACCTAATTCCCAAAAAACAATCCTCCAAAAATGCTTGTGATCATAGCGAGTACCCCACACGAACCTACTAAAGCGAATCAGGCTGGACCGCGGGCTACCTGTCACGACATGTGTTTGCGCCTTATTCCGCCATGAAGCCCAAAAAGTTTTTGGATGGCTGACGAGGCTGAGCTTTCTGGATTTTCTGGGCTCTGGCTCCCTAAGATTCCTGGAGCCCAAGACCCTTCAGCTGAACCTGAGAGACAGTCCCAACCCCAAAAAACCTGTGATCATAGCGGACAACCCAACAAACTGACTTTGCAGAATGTAGATCCGGGAAGCCTGCGAGTATAGCAGGCAACCCCAACAAACTGACTTCGCACAACATAGTGCCGGGAAGCATGTGATTATAGAGGGTGGATTCCAGTTGCAAGATTAGGGGTGAAAAGGGTGCCAAAGCCCTGTAAACCCTGTGAAGGACGAACTGGGTCGGAAGCCCATGCTCCGCTCGAACCTGCTCGGCTTCAACGTACCTGAGACGAAAGCGGTTCAGGGTTTAGGATTTAGGGCTAGAGTCCGGATGCAAAAGGATTTCGGGCTACAGGGCTAAGAGGGTTTCGGGCTAGGGTTTAGGCTAGGATTGAGGGCTCGGAAAAGGGGTGAGCACTTCCATGCAAACTAGGTTGGGCACTTCCAAAGCCTGCTGAAAACAGGGTTGAGCACTTGGGCTGGTTTGGGTGTCGGATCTCGGATCTGCTTCGGGATGTTGCGGAGAGATGAACGATCAGGAACAATGTAGCCTTGATTCGTAGCTGGAGCTGACGCTTCGTGTATCTTCGCTTTCTAGATGTAAGCGCCCGTCGCAGCCGCCGCATGCTGTACTATAGCATGTGCAATGTCACATGTTGTTATTGCTGCGACGGCCAGGTCAACAGAACATTAATAAAACAGCAACTGCGGTTCTTATTTCAACAAGGAAATAACTTGTTTGCACAATATTACATAATTGATCACGTTAATACAAATAAGTATAGATAATATTTCTTGTTACATATAAAAAATGCACATAATATGCCTCTACCTACGTCTCTTAGTGCTTTTGGTCTTCCATGTTTCAGGTACAGGCAGAAAAGTGCCCGGCGCAGAGGGTGGAGATTTGAGTTGCTGAATCAGCAACATGAGGGCCGCGGGCTCAGGGCCCTGGGTACTAGGTACGATGAACCGAGGATTCTCATCCCAAGACCATCACTGACTGTCAGACGCCGACACATCTTGGGCAGCATGAAGCAGCTGCTTCACCTTCATGAAGTTAGGCGGTGTCATTGCGGGCCGCTGTTTTCAGGGTGCCACCTGGGGCCAAGAGTTCAAAATCAAATCCCATGTGTGGTCTTCGAGGCCAAACTGCTGAGCAGCGCTGAAAGGCGTTTCCCAGCTCCAGCAGCACGTACTGTGGGATGGTTTCAGGGTGGTTCAATCCTGCTATCGCAACTTGCAAGGCCTGGCTGCATAAAGTTTTATATGACAACGCGATTCCGAGTCTGGAGCTTGGGTTCTTAGGTCTCAAGTCCAACAAACGTTGGCCTGTCTCACTTTAGTGACATCACTTCGCGGCTGACGGGAGCAGCACAAACGCAGAAATAGACCCTGCTGGCTTGGATCGCTTCATAGGCCATAGGCAGTCCATGTACAGCTGCTCTACTTCTATCATCTCTTGTCCTGGCTCTCTGAAAACACTTATAGTTGGTAAGGCATGGAAAGAGCGCAAGCCTCGCATGCACTTGTCAGCCACGGATCATGCGGCTTGTCCCGCATCGGGGATCTTCTGCAATTGGAAACGGAGCCTTGCCAGTGAGCGGGTGGGTGCCGCATGCAGAGAGGGAGAGAAGAAGCAACAAGAAAAGCACGAGAGAACGGAGAGCAAAACAGGCACAAAGCGCGGGAGCGAGAGGGAGCATACAGCTTTCAATCGGACAGAGTATGTCTAGCTGTTGAAGGTCGTTGTTTGGTATTCGAACTTGAAGGAGATAGGAAGGTTCGAAGTGGGTTTTTGCTAGGCTTGGATCGTTTCGTTAGGTTCACACCAGTAGCCCGTCCAAGACCACGTGCGGAGAGCTGTTGTGAGTGGTTACTCGCTGTGGCAGGTCCCCCTGTCCGTATCTAGTCCACCATCCTTGCAGGTTGGCATGGGGCTGCACAACGCACGGTCATAGCTTGCAGTCCCCAATGGCATCTGTAACTTACGGGATTTCCTGGAAGTTGGAAAGGCCAGTTTCCCTCCAGAGAGCCTCCGGCTGTCGAAGACATCCGAAGAGAAGGTTTCTGACCCGTGGCTCCTGTTGAACTGATCTCACGAAAAGGGCCCTGAAAGCAATTGGGAAATTCAAGTTGAAAGACCCCACTTGTCAGAAACCTGCGCATTTTTTTTCGCACGCGGACATGGCTTCGCTCGGCTGTAAGCTTGATCCCGCCGATTGACGTAGAAAAAGTTGCCAGTGACAATAGGCGTGAGCGGGTGAATGAGTGAGTGAAATCCCGATTATACATTGTCGGGCAGCCGTCTCTTTTGCATTGTCTTTGAGTATAAGTATTGGTTGGAACCACTCAGAAGCACAACAATTGCAGGTTATAACCAAACTAGCTTTAGGATTTCCACTACCTCACCATATCGAGTCTTGACACAGGTCTGCAGTGTTATTTGCACGGTGCCGTTTATCAGATACCAAAAACGTACTGGTTGCTTTCGTTGAGTCACACTCTCACTGCTATTCAGATCTCCCCCAGTTCAATAATTTACACCATTAAGGTGAGCTGACGAGTAGACATAAGTGGGGGGTGGAGTCCAAGGTATGAGTCAAACTCATGAAGCCTTCCTATGAAATCCCAAGCCCGAGGGCTATAAACCCTAAACCCTAAACTTCTGTTTCCTGCAGGCGCCTGTGCGGGCGAGTATGGCTGGGGAGGCCTGGCTGGTCCTGCTTGGACGATCGACCCCAGGTGCCTCGAAAGGGAGGACCGAGAATAGCTTGAGGTTGGGAGGTTCCCCCTAATCCTTTTTAGAGATTATACTTGGGGGTACTATAATCCCTATTCAGGACTGCTAGTTCCCCCTTATCCTTAAAGGGGATTAGAATTGTGGGGGTATTTGAATCCCTATAAAGGGCTTTTAGTTCCCTCTTATCCTTAATAGGGATTACAATTGGGGGGCGGGGGTGCACTAGAATCCCTATTAAGGATTGTGAGTAGAAGGGGTATTGCAAGGGGGAACATCCCAAGGTTGAGACTCATGGAGGCTGTAGGACTGAGGGCTGTAGAGGGCTTCTCGGTAGGTGCCAGGTATATCCCGAGCATTGCTGGGTATCGTTGGCTTTTTTTTTTTTTGGGGGGGGGGGGGGGGGATTCCAAAGGGTTCATAGGGTTTGCACTAGGGACGGCCTAAAGGGTTTGGGTTGGGCGTAGGTCAGGGCATGCATGCGGCTTTTGTGAAGTTCCAGGCACGCCCAAGCCTTGAGGACTCGGGAGGTTTGCTAGAATAGGGGCAGATGGGCCAGAGAGGGACCTCCTTGGGGGCTTCTGATAGAAGGACTCGGGTGCCGATACGGGGCCCGCTATGATGGTGAGGCTTGTGCTCACAAACATGCTACCCTGTCTTTGATGGCATATCCATGCAGCTACTTGGGAGCACACGACAGCGCAGTGCCCACCACGGCTTCATCTCCTTGACGTCGTAGACAACTACAAGGGCTGTGGGGCGCTTTGCGATTCCAAGGGCTGTGGTCATGGACCGTCTGGGTGGTTGTAAAGCCAGAGGCAAATCACCGCCTGAAAGCGTACCATCGTGTCCAGGTGCGTAGGCCCAACTAGTTCCTATTTATCACAATTGATTACTAATTCATAATCTAACCTTACCAGCACTTACACAACACGACACTAAAGTATCTATGGTTTAATATCGTACGACCCAAGGTAAAAATCATTTAACGACATCAACTAATATTCTTACAAATTGACCACAAGCCTGAACGCCAAGGCAGCCAAGTTATGTACAGGTACTACTGTTGTCATTGGCCAAACCAGTTTTGACAGAAGTCCGGGCTGAATCCAGCGGTACGTGTCTTCTCATTCATTGTCTGAAGTCAGCCTCAAGAGACCTATCCTTTGGCTTTTGCTCCTAACTGCCCTAACTCCTGAGTCCTAATTCACGCGACAACGTCTCACCAAGGCGCACCTGCGAATCAGAGCGCCTTCTGGCAAGCAACAAAGATTCCCGCAACATAAAACATTGGGGCAGGCAAACCAAAACCCCAAACTCGCCTTGGTGGCAGCTAGGCAGGAGGCACAACGTCCGAGAGTTGAGCGATTAAACCCCAAAGTGGCCCGTCTTGTAGCTCAGACAGGTACCTTGACCTCAGGCCCACCTCTTCCAACTGCGAGGACTATAACCCTGTGCCTTCAAAAATCAAATGTACCCCAACAAGGCGCATCACCCTATGCCCCAACCCGAAATTTAGACCCTAACCCCTAAACCCTAAACCCTAAACTTATGGAGCCAGGTCCGATCTCATCATCTTGTCCATGACGCAGACGGCCTTTGTTCTGGATCACGAGGAGTACGTGCGATTCCTGGGTTGGGGACCTCCGCACAAGATCCCCGATGATGCCTTAAGAATTCAGAATTGAGTTTGTGTTCCGGAAATGATTGCGGCACCCCATGTCCGTATGTAAGGTTTGCAGTTTTGTGAGAGTGGAAGCCCTTCCACCCTGAAGCTCGCATGGAGTCGCGGCGGTGGCCCAGTGTGGCCGCACCCCAGAATCAAGATCCCCAGTACCCTTTGTGTGTGGGGTTTAGGCTTGGGCTTGCCTAGAAAAGCCAAATGGCACAACCAGGTTTCCCTTGCTCTCGGTTCGTAGGTTACTTCGGGACTCAGACAACCCTCCGGCAGGCATCCAACCATCTAGATACATGTAGCCGTTAACAAGTTCACGCCTGTGCCTACTTCGGCGGTTTAGGCGAGGGTTCAGAGGTCCAGGGATGTCAGAGGCTCCTGGTAAAAAAGGGACTTTCTTGCTTCCGACACGCCAGGGCTGGTTTGAAAAGGGTTCGGGAAAACCTGCTGCAAAGAGGGTTTAGGGTTTAGGGCCCGTCCATGCCCCTGAGGTGAGGTACGCTGCACGACGTGCTATCCATCAGTACATTTATGGATCCGCCGGCAGCTCAGTTTACACGGAAACTTTTGGTGCCGGATCGAGCTGCGCACGGCTTTTGCGTGTTGCTTTCAGGAGCGGTGCATAGCTTGGGAGTGTAGAGTTTCCTAGCGTTCCTTGCACTGTGACTCAGTCTTCTCCCTATCGGAACCCCAAATCATCCTCATCGATTCGGCTCACAGTCATCCCCCCCTCCCAGCATCTAAGCCTTGAGCCCAGCGCAGATTGTCCTCACAACCCGAGGTTGCTGCCCCCTCAAAAGCGACTTCTTACGCGCCCGAGAGCTTTGATGTGGCGGGGTCCGGGGAATGAGGGCCGAAGAGTGTCGGTTGTGCTTCATCCACACGCTCAGTAGCAGCATCTCGCAGTTTGAGCAGCGGAATTCAAGGAACTCCGCTGACTGGAGAGGTCTGTTGTCTGTTGAACATTGCCTCGTTGGCCGAGCTGGATGACCAGCTCCCTCTTTCGTCTTTCAATCCCTGCCCTGCCCACGTTTGTTGAAGAACACCCTGCAGCCTCTCGCGCAGGTGAAGCCAAAAGGCCCGGAGGAGGAGGATCAGGCACCATGGGGCATTGGTGATTCAAAAGGAGGTATTCTCTCCGAAGCTTCTGGATTTGGTTGTCTCATGAAGTTCGCAGGGGCCCACTTTGGACATCGCATGGGCACCCGATAAGAGGAGCATTGGCGCATCTTCTGCATCAAAGCTTGAAGTCATCGCATGCTGTGTATTGTAGGGGCCTTCTTTGAATCAGAGCAGAGTTTCGGGGGCTATTATAATACATGTATAAAGGGACCATAAGGGAACATTGTTAGTAGTTATTCCGACCCCTTCATTACACTGCAGGGCTCTTGCAGTTGGAGTCGTGTGCTCCTTTTCTCGGGGGTTCTCCGCCACTGCATCGTCGAGGGAGCGAGTACATCCAAAAGATTGGCGCACCCGATCCGCGCTTGTGAGCGAACAAAATGAATGAATGCCCTATTTTTGCTGCCCTCCCCAAGGAGAGTCCGGGGGACTTTCCTGCAACGACTAGTGGTTGACAAGCTTCGCTTTAGGGTTTAGGGTTATCAGATGCAAGTCACCACGATTTCCTGACCATTCCCGGCCGATTCCCCAAGCCCGGACGCAAAAGGGTTCGGCAATCGCTGCGAACCTCATCGAACCTCCCGATGCAAAAGGGTTTAGGGGTTTGCTTTGCAGGCTCAGCTCGACCGGGAGTTCGAGCAAGAGTTCCTGGTAAATCGCAGGACTTTGGCTTCCAAGACTCCAAGACTTCGGGGCCCGGCTTAGGCCTACAGGGCTTCGGGATTGTTAGGATATAATTACTTGACTTCGGGTCCGGGTTGAGGGGTCTCATCGGCCCCTCCAGCACCACTCAGGATAATTCTGTTGCTGGGCCTGCGCCCCCAAACATCCCTTGTAGCTCCTCCGCAGGACGCGCGTGCGCGGCGCCAAGGAGCGCGCGATCGCGCCGGGCCCGCGCTTGGATCGGCATCCCAGCGAAGAAGAGGCGCCAAAGTGTTTGCAGGACAGAGGGCCGAGGGCCCGGCCCAGAACCCAAAATCCAAAAAACGAGCTTCAGAAATTGCGAGATCCTTGAGCTGGCGTCAACTAGGTTCCACTGGAGGTCCCCGCTGCACCGACTGAAGAAGCTGCTGGCATGTAGAGGGTGCTTATGGGCAGCTCATGGGTCAAGGCTTCAGGTTTCCAGGAGTTGCGATCGGGCTTCTGCTTTATCATGACCATTCAACTACGATCATTACGTGTATATCTCTTACTGCGATGATTGCGATTCTTTGCGTTTTTTTTTATATGAATGTTACGCGACCCGCCTCGGCCGAGGCCTCGGAGATCGCGGGGTGCTGTTTTTCGAGAAGCTTCGCGCCATCATTCCCTTTTTGGGGCTTCTGGCACTAGTTTGAGGGGACGCGGCAGGAGGGGCTGGGGGTGATGGGTGTCCGCCTTTATGGTCGGACCCAAACTGATGCAGCGTCCGCTGGCGAATAGCTGTCAGCTGCAGTTGGATTAGAGGTGGGGTACCTGCTTTATGTGACACCGCCCGAAGGCCTCGGCGGATTTGTTTGTTGTGTGAGAGATTATATATGTGTCATCGTTGGTCATGAGAATTCTCTACCAATAATTGATATGCCTATTATTGTTGTTATATTCTCTTGCATGAGCGTAGTGGGGAAGGGTGCTGAGCCGGAGCACCCGGGCCACCCGGGGTGGGAAGCCAAGCCTGTACGCTGCTGGAGTGCTGAAGGTCGTGTCGAACCCTGGGCTTCTGTGGGGCCCAAGATTGTTTGGTGTTTAAGTGTTTAAGTGTTTGAGTGTTTATGTCTAGGGCTCCTTCCACTGAAAAACCTTAGCCAGCAGAAGCAAGCGCTAGAACGCAGGTCGCCGTGTACCGGAAAGAGCTGGAGAAGCAGGGCAGCGACAGTCCAGGCCCGCTAGCAGAGGGTTTATATGGCAAAAGGATTCGAAACTCCCAGGTCATCGGCCCCTCAACATGCGTCTATAGGGTTGGTTCCAGGTGACGGGGGTGCCGGGGTGCCGGGGTGCCGCCATGCGCGCTGTGGGGTGGGGAAGCGTCCCCATCCATACATGCCCGGCAGCAGAAGAAGAAGCAAAAGAAGAAGAAGAAGAAGAAGAAGCAGAAAAATGACAAGAAGAAGAAGAAGAAACATCTTGTTGGGGTATAGCACTTGGCATTTCGGGCAGAAGAATTAGGGCGCTTGGGGTTCCGGATAGCCTTTACATCCTGCTCAGGAGGGAAAGCGGACGAGGACACCGGGCCTGGGAATCGAATTGTGGGTGAGCATTTAGAGTTTAGAGTCTCTAGAGTCTTGAAAAGAGACGGCTGTCAAGCCCAGTTCAACCCAAGTTGTCTTGTCATTACTTGCATTTGCCAGTGTCATTCACACTGCCCCGACATGTGACAATGACTTTGATGCAATATTTTGGTTCGAGAAACTTTTTGATTTTCGCCTGCAGTTTGGCTTATAATAGCCAATGGCCCGGGTGCATCCCAAAGAGAGGAGCAGTCAGAGCAGTTCAGAGGATCCTGAGGACTCAGATCCTGGTCAAGCTGTTCCAGTCGTTCCGCGTCCACAGGTTTCCGCTCCTGCGCGTCCTGAGGACTCACAGAGTTTGCCGAAATTTCGGGATGTGGAATCCGATGTCTTTGAAGGCTTGGGAGAGGCGAGGATGTGCTTGCCCACACTCTCTAGCACTTTCATAGCCTCCGTCGGCTCTTCAGCGCTTACTTTCGTCGGCCTTTTTGCACTCGGCCTTTCCGAGCTAGGGCTTCCTCTTCCTCGACCGACTTGGATGACACTGACATGCCGCTTTGCTGGCTGGATGTTTCTTTTTGTCCTGCCTGTTTTGGGAGTCGCTGTACCCCCGCTTCGGAACTTCTTGCTTTGGGGCCTTGAGCCGAACAGCGCTGTCTCTCACAAGGGCGACAAATGTCCGACGAGAAATCCTTTGCCTTGGATGCAGCAGATGGCCTGGGTGACAATCTACGCCACGCTGACATGTCTTCCCATCCACGAAGGGCACCCTTTTGGGTTTTTCCTGGTCTTCGCGTTGGGAAACATCTTGTCGATGCCAGCCGGGTTGATTCTTGCGCGGCTCGTTGGGCCAGCTATCTTGTCCCCCCAGTATGTCCGGTCAGTTGGTCCGGTATGCATTTTCTTTCCAATCGTCGGCTTTGGCATCTTGGTGTCTGGCTACCTGGCGCTGAGACGCGCCTGTGGAGTCTGGGTCGGTGTTTTGATGCCCTTGCTGCTGACAGTCTATGAGTTTGTCGGCATGCAGGTGGCGGCTCGGAACTTCGTAAAGTACTTCCTCACGAGGCAAGAAGTGCGAGAGCAGTACGCGGGCACAAACCAAGGCATTCTGCTCTCCACATCCATTTGTACCTTTCACGCCCTGGCCGAAGGAGCGCGCTTAACTCTGCTCTACATAGACCACTTGAAGCATCAGAGCTTCGACATCCTGTTGCCAATAATCAGTGCCGTTATATGGAATGTCTTTGTGCGTTTGGGATGCGTGGACCGCATCATCACGACCGTGACTCGTGGCTGGTTCAAACCCCACAACGCCTCGAAGCTCTTGAGAGATGCGGGTTATTGCATGGGCTATCCCCGTATGGGAGCGATTGCTGCCTTGCTGTTGGCACGCCTTTCTCTCGGTTCTCCGATGATCCTGACTGATATGGAGGGATTTCTCTGGGCGTTCATCATCGGAGCAGAACTTGTGGAAGATCTGCTCAGCTACGCTCTGTGGCGAGCAGGTGTGGACTTCTCGCCAGTGAAAATGTTCGCCACAGATGAGGAGGTGGAACAAATGTCAGAGAAGAGGATTGTAAGGAGGCTGAGCAAACTTAGTCAGCAGGGATCTTCGGATGCACTCGCCGTGGTTCCACAGCCGTCGAGGAAGTCCACTTGTTCAGCCCCATCCGCAGCTTCGGCCGCGCAAGAAGTAGAAGTTCAGCGCCTTGCTACTGTTGAGTCTGTGAAGTGGGAAGTGCGCGAAAGGCATGACTTCAAGTATGGCCCGGTTGACTTCGGCTGTTTGCCCTTCTGGGCGCATTTGCTTCCAGCAGCCCTGTCGCAGTTCCACACAGTGTTGGCCGTGACTGTTTTCTCAGGCGGCCTCGTGTACGCCTTGGGCTTATGCCCCCATAATCCCCATACTGAGATGAGCCCTGAAGGAGGTGTGCTTTGGTGGCCCATACCAGACGGCAGTGAGATATGTACATGATTTCTCGCTCCACTTAAATTCTTTAAGCATGACATCACATCCCCATTGTCATGTCTACTGCTTCGCATGCCCATTTTCCTCCTATTGTTGGTCCTCCTGTATTAGTCCTCCTGTGCTGCTGCTACTGCTACTGCGACCACGACCAATACCACTCTCTAACTAAACAAAACCCTTGAACTGGCAAATGCCGTTCCAGATTTTTGCAGCCCCAGTCCTCCGAGAGGTGTCAGGGCTTTCAGGGAACTTCAAGGCCAGCAGAGCTGGCCCGGCGGAGCTAGGTTGGCACTTCCTGAGCCCCCTGGCTTCGTGGCTCAGAGGCTTAGCACGTGCACAATCCGAGTTCAGCAAGGCTTCGGCAATGGTGCGTAGCAGCACGAGCCGTTGCGTTTGTGTAGGCTTAGGACTAGAGTTTTACTTCAACAGCCTGGTGGTCTGCTACGAGGCAAGGAAATACCGGCGCCCTTCTTTGCTTGGAGTGCTGATCCGGGACATGTTCGGCACATACCACACTGCTTGTCCTTCTACGTGCAAGGGTATGCTACCGCCAAGGACGTGCACACCCCGATGGCTTGAGCATAAGAGCAAGTCATTTGCACAACGACACATGCTGTGTCACACCCCTGGAATAATGGATGGAATCCCGGAGCCCCAGACCTTTGTAGCCCATCAAGCAAAACCTATTTCTGAACCACAAGACAGGTCCAAGACCGCCTTAAACCTCAAATGCACTGGAAATGCAATGCAAGCCCGACGCCCCCCTAGGCTTGCAAGTAAGGAGCAATGTTGGAGCCCCAAACCTCTGAGATCCTGGACCCCAAAGCCCTGGGCAAAAACATAAAGGCCTTAAATACACCCCGTCAATTCCTTCCTGGACCCGAAAATCCAACCCTGAAGCCTTGAGGGTTCAGGGAAAAGGGTTTTTGGGTTTATAGGCCCTAAACCTTAAACCCTAAACCCTAAACCCTAAACCCTATAGGGTTTAGCCCCAAAGGATGGCAATCGGCCCAAGCGACGCAAGAGTGGCGGAGCTGCCACGCCCAGACCTGCCGAGAAAGAGAAGCAGCAGGCCGCTGGTTGGGTTAAAAAGAGGGGCCTGAATGATTAGAATATAGGGTTTTTGGGGGTTAGTATCGTAAATCTATATGTAAAGGGACCATAAGGCAACAATAGTAAGTTAGTTCTTATGTGCTTTGGCTGGTTCAGGTTGGGATGTTCCCCCTTATACTAGCAGTCCTTAATAGGGATTGTAATTCTAGTACCCCCTATCATCCCAAGGTCTAGGGCTTAGGGTTTTGAGGGCTTTTTGGTAGCTTTCAAATAGGTTGTTTTTTTTTTGAGGTTCATGACTGGTTTGGGGTGCTGGTTGCCGGTTGTCCGGTTTTTGGAGCTACTTGGGTTTGGGCCCTTTAGGAGCTGCTCCGGATGTGAGGTTGGCCATCTCCTTCTGTTGCAGGAACAGGAGCCCGTAATCTCACCTATGTGGGAGCTGGGTGCACCCTCACACTTCTGCGGCGAAAGGCTTCGCGGCCGTGCTGCCCTATTGAGGCAAGTTCTATGCCATCAAACCCAAACCCCCCATTTTGACTGTCCTCGTCTGATCTGCATCGAAGCACTTACTTCTGCCACCCGCCACATTACCCTGCAGTGCATCCCCAGGACCCAGGTCAGCTGCAGGTGGCCCAGAATCAAAAAGCAAAGACCCAAGACCCCAAGAAAGTGCGCAGCCCTCGCCCGAGAGCCCGGCTGTAGGGTTTCGTGTCTAGGGTTTTGGGTCCCCGAAATCCCACATCTTGAAGGTCAGCACCCCGACTGGGAAGAACACCACCGGGGACCTCGGGAATGGTCGGAGACACAGTTGTCTTTTGTGTTTTTGTTTTTGTGGCTTTTTGCGGGCTGTTGGTTCTGAAGCTTGAAGATTTGGGGCTTGCTTCCATTGCTAGTTTCAGGGTGTGGCATTAGAAAGTTCGGGAAGGAGTCAGCTCCCTCGCGAACTGCAAGGCTCGCCCCAGGGTGAAGCAGAGAAAATCCTCTACAAGCGTGTCCTGGTGGCAGGCCCGGGTGTCAGTTGAATAGTTAACCATATGAGCTTGAGGGCTGGGCAAGAGCCCCCACCGCCACCAGCCCCGTAGCATCCCCACCCTGGTCCCTAAACCCTAAACGCTAAGCCCTGGAACGATCAGCTAGGCAGGTGGCCAAAGAATGCCCTAAACCCTTCATCCTGGAACCCTAAACCCCCCAAACCCTGTGGGACCAAACCTCTCCACGACATGGCCTGAAGCACACGGCAAGCTTTTGCAATTTCGGTGGGGAACCAGCCTCGACATGAACGATCTCCGAAAGGGCTCTAAGTTCGACTTTGTGGCAAGCAACACCAACCCATCTTGAAAGCGAGGGTTGCCACTGTCGACTTGCTGCAGCCACCGGAAGCTAGCAGAGCGACAGCTATCTCGTAGACAGTCGTCATGCTCTCTTGCGAAAGTGCATTCCGCACGCTGTGCCGCGAGTGGACATAGAGCGGCTGGTTGAGTTTGTTTCTGCCACTCGGTTAAAACAATTAGAACACGCAGGTGCTAGTTTGCTTGCCGGTATGGCAGGTGATCAAGATGAGAATAAGAAGAAGGCCGCACGTTGCTGCGTGTGCTGGTGCATGGGGTGCCACAGTGCCGACTGCGAGTCGTACGTTCAAGGTTTTTCCAATGACTCTTTGAGTCATGCGTTTGTTTCTGCTGGTACTCTTCCAGTTCAGCCAGTTATAGCCAGTTCAGCTGAATGGTTGAATTTAATGATTACTTTTGGGTGTAAGACGCTTATGGCCGGACTCACTCTATAAAGTCTTACATCCCCGCAAAAAACAACCTCGACCACCCACCTTGATAGTAGTCAAGGAGCATCTTCACCATGCGGCAAAGCTCATGTGCGGGCTCCCCGAACTTCTCAAAACCCCATGTAACTCCTAAACAAGCCCTCGTAAACCCTACAGCCCTCAGCCCTTATGATGACCCTGAAACCGCACATCCTCATCCCTGGCTCATCCCTGGGCCGTACACTCCAGAGGCGCGCGTGGTGAAGATGAGCGGCGACGTTGCCGAGATCGTCACGGAGGGGGACTACAGGCCGGCCTGCGCAGGTTAGTGGGGCACGAAGGGTTGTAGCTCAGCGCTCTTGAAGGAGAGCTGTGATCCAAAAGGCTCCCCCAGAAAAAGCTGGACAAGTAGTTGCCCGGGCACAGGCGCTTACCTTCAACTCCTGTTGTGAGCACCCGTGCCCCAAAAACACTAGTTCAACTTCCGCACCCGGAGCAATGCTTAAACCCAAATTGCCCAAAGACCTCCAAGCTGCGGCCCCATCCTGAAGGTCGATGGACGTGGACATTGGCGAGCTGAAGGACATGCATCTCGTGGGCAATTGTTTGGGCCTGCATGCAGCGCGGTGGCCCATACAGTGAAGGCTTTGGCCCAGAAGATGCCCGTTTGGGAGCCGAATTAGGTGCCATGAGGATGCGCGATTCTGGGCTCGGTGTCCTATCCAGGCTGTAGCTAGACTTAAAAGCAGCCTGAATCCTAAAAGTCTATGTACATCCTCGTGGTCGGCCACAGAGGAGATTGAGGAGACGCAGTTCGGGATTCCTGTTCCAAGCTGCTGCCTCGGTCTCTCCTGGATTAGAGATTTCGCTGTCAGCGTCCTCCTGGAACTAGTGTTAAGTGTTTAGGGTTTAGAGGGTTTAGGGTTTGGAGGGCTGTTCGGCAGCCGGTTAAGCAAAGGTTTGTGCAAAAGGGCTTGCAGGGATGTTTATCGCATCAGGCTTTCAGTGGTTTCGGGGGTTCCTCGGAGCCCCCCCCCAAATGGGGAAAATGCTCGCTAGCTGCACCTCGGATCCAACGCGCCTGTACGTCCGACATCTCCAAAGAAGCCTGACCTATCTGCAACCTCGAGCCCCAAATCCCTAAACCCTCTCAAGCCGACTCCCCAAACCTTAAACCTTAAGCGGCAGGGCCCCCTCCAAGCCTGTTTACATAAGAAGGCCCACTTCATAATCTTGAAGTTGCATCCTGAGAGCTGCAAAATGTGAGGGAAGATGGACCAGTCTGCCCCAACCGACTTTGCGTTCCTCATGGATCACGCCGTTCAGGCCTCCTGGTGGTGTGGTGGCGGTAGTGACGATGGAGTTTTGGGTGTAGGCTTTAGAGTTTCGGGTGGGGTGAGCTGTGGACTTTTTCCCGGTGTCTTCCGAAGCATGTGGCAAAGAAAAAAGCCAGGCTTTGGGCACCTGGCGGCTTGAGCGTTTTTTGGGGGCCCCTGTATTTGGGTCAGGCGTCAGGTTGACGGAGCATGAAACCCCCAACCAGGGGACTTTAAAGCTTCCGAGGCCATCGAACTTGCAAGCACTGGAATGTACAGTGTCCGGGCTTCGGGTAGGGTTTCTGCCTAAGAGTTCCAGATGTGGCCCTTCACGCACTTTTCTTTTCAGCGGCAGGAGACACCGAAAAAGAAATGACCTCCTCGGACCGGAGAAAGGCTGCGTGCTGCGTGAAGTAGTCTCCCTTAAGGTCGGAATATGGGTGTCAACCACAGCAAGAACGAAAGGATCCAGCAACTGGTGTTCAAACGGTGTCTTACTTCGAGTTTCTGGGTGTACCTGTAGCTTTAGTGCCTGCTCTGCCGCAGTGCTGCACAGATGTCACCGCTCACAGACCACGAGTCACGACCTTAAAGACCTTGTGAGCCCAACAACCTGTTTGCCAGTTTGCAGGCTGCTTCATCATGCCTACGTACAGCACAGGATGTTTGGGCCCAGCAACAGCACGACGAATGCCTTGGGCTCGCTTTGGGATTTTCATGAGGGGACTTTAGCATCCGCAATCTCGGGGGAGAAGAAGGAAACCGGGAGCCCAAAAGGAATGAAGCTGTCAAGCATAGGGAGCTAACACTGCAGCAGGCACATGAGAGGCCTCTGAACCACTTGGCTCAAGCTGGACCAGGTCGAAGCTAACTTTTTGGGAGGAATTGAAGGCAGCGAGAAGTGCAAGTGTCAGGCAAGCTCCTGGAAGCACGACGCAAAAGCAGGTTCCTACTTTTTGCTGGCGGAGTTTCTTCACGTTCCCTCTGGGAGTGTTTGAGACAAAAAATGGTGCGATCAGAGGCCTTCAAACCAAACCTTGAAACCGGAACCTCAAGCCCTGAACCGCGCAATTGTCGCGAATTCGGCACCAAAGGGTTCCAAGATGGACTTCCTCATATACTTTCCTACACCCCTGGCAGGTAGGGGCGACGTGCCGAGTGGTAATGGACTCGATAGACAGCCGCGGCCTCAATTTGCAGATGCCATCCAACCTCGACATGGCTCGCGGCCACCTCCCACAACGAGCATGTGCAACTCTAGCGCGCAGACACACAGAGTCAGAGTTGCCCAGCCCCCCACGCCCACCCATTCACCACCCCCACCCGGTGTATCCCTCAAAGCCCATCAGCCACACAACTTGTGGACTCTGCGCCCTTCGGCTGTTGACCCGTCACATCTCAAGCTTACAGTGTAGTTAAAGGCCTCGGCGGGCCCGAAAACAGTTTCTGCACAGACCGCCGAGCCTTGGTTGGGGGTTCCAAAGAATCTAACCCTCCAACCCAGGCCTAACCCAAGAGTCACTGGAGGTGAGACTTCAGAGGAACCAGAGCCGAAGTCAGACATTTCAGCACGCAGTAGGTAGCAGCCAGTCGGGTTAGGATTGACCGCACTACCTGGGTCCCAAATACCTTCCTGTTGGGGGAGGAGGCGGCCGCTTCTGGACCTATAAACGTGAAAAAAAGAGCTGCAGGTGTTGTTTTAGGATTAAATCTTTCATATTCTGAAGCACGGTCTTCCGAAATGGCCCTGGCGCGGCTGGGCCCGAGAGCCTCCTTCCAGACCGCCAGCTCTTTAGCCTCCGAAAACGAATATCAGGCTGGCTCGAGGAGATTTTCGGGTTTAATTAGGGTTGAGGGGGGGCAGGTGAAACAAATAAAAAAGGTCACAAAGAACTGTAGGAGCTATAGCTTTCGTCTAGGAACGACGAGGGTTGAGGGGTTGAGTGCTGGTTTTTGCTGAGAAGTTCGGAGTGGCAAAGCGCAACCTGGCAAAGCCCCCTTTTCGCCTTTAGCTACACAGAGTGAACCTGACCCCTGTAGACCAACAGCACGCAGCTTCTCTCGAATTGTTTCCCGACGGGATTGAAACTTCGCGTTGTTTCAAAGGTTCTACTGTTCTACTGCCTCAGTTTTTAGGGCATTGGTTCTTTCCGGGCCTTCAAGCATCAGGCTCGGAGAGCAATGGCATCCGCGGGCTCTGTGTTACCATTCCTGCCGTTGCATCTCCAAGCCCAAGCAACGAAGCCCTAACACCGCGAAAGCCTCTAACATAAGGCAAGACTTGAGAACTAAGCCCCCCCCCCCCCGCGAAAGCCCTAAATCCCTACACCCCAAACCCCTGATGTACACGGGACGACAAGCCGATCGGGTTTGGGGAGTTTAGAGCTACAGGGGTTAGGAAGCAATCGAGTGGATTCGGGGCCTTCAAAAGGGGGTTCCCTACCAAGAGCTTGTAAGGAACACACAAGTGGCACAGGTCGACTTCATCTCGCTAGGCCTGGAGCGGCCGACCAGCCCATCCTCCGGAACGCCCCTGGGCTCTCCGAGTTCCGAGAAGTATACTTGCTGAGACCTGAGACTGAATAACAAACTCCCAGCCCCCAACCTCGATCCCACTGATCCCAGGGCGCTGAGCACACACGCCGACACGCAAGTGTGCAATGTCCTGTTGCTGGACGAGGAAGATGTACGCGTCCGCGTGAACCTGAGGGATCCAGAGATACTTGCCTCACTGTGATTTTGTTTGCTGTGTTGGTGGTTGTCAGGGTTGTCATGCCTGAGCCACCCTAGGGTCGTGGAGTCAGGAAGTTGGACAACTGAGGATGAAGCCCATGCTGGTCACAAGATCGACGGAAACTCAGACTGAGTGTCTGGCTTCTGCGGCGACAAAGACTGAGGCCACCCAGTCTCTCGTGCATTCTTGAGCAGATCTTTTTCGTTTCAAGACATGAGAACATTGAAAACACGTAGAAGCATTGCGCTAAGAGTTGGTTGGCTCTGAATGTGTGTTGAATTCAAGATGCCAAAAACGACACCGAGGACTGAAGAGCTTCGCGGCTGGAGCCTGCAGGAGGAGGAGGAGGCCATTCCTCCACCTTTGCCAGAAGACTCGACCTACCAGGAGGCAGTAGAGGAGGTTGCCGGATGCGCTGCAGCTTCCGAAGAGGATGAGGTCGGCTTCATGAAGGAAGAAGGCACCAGAGAGACGGCCTTCGAAGGATGTGAAGGGGGAAGCGGCGAAGGCGACGGAGTCGTTGACACTGCGGAGGAGGTGGCACCTGAACAAGGACCATCTGAAGACGCAGTTGTCCAGACCTCGCTCGCGACGCACATGGAGGAGACTTTAGACTAGGCTACTGCTGAAGCTTGAAAGCCACTGAATCCGAAAGAACTTAACGGGCTCTCTGAATTAAGACCCCGGCTGAGGGTGGGCCCGCAACAATGTCTTGAGCTAATGATATATCATAAGGCATGTTTGCACATGCACACTGTTTATATATCTATATCTATATATACATGTATATTATATATTCACACACGAAATAATTAGCCAGTGCCAGCCGTGCCTGGTAAATAGATGATTACGAAAATTGCTTCATCGAAATTGACGACTTTTTCGGTTGTTGTTTATCGAAAACAAAAGCCAGTATTTTGAATGTCCGAGAGATGTCTTGGGTCAGCATTTGACCCAAGAAAGAATCCAAAGTGTCTGATAGTGCCGCAGGCATTCGAACCCCAAATCTGAAATTCCTGAAGGCCTGCATGAAACGCTGCAAGGACAAATTTGGGGGACTGTTGTGGTGGCACGCAAGCAATGGCAAAAAAGTGCCCGAAAGGGTTTTAAGGGTATGCATCTGGAAGAAGGAGAGAGAGAGAGAGAGAGAGAGAGAGAGAGAGAGAGAGTAGCCATTTTGGCTCAAGTCTGTGAGGGGAACCCGCCCCCCCAATCAGGCTTGAGTCAGCCGCGCCGCAGGCTCAAACTGTGAAGCCACTTCGCTCCGCCCCTACACCTCTAAGTTTTGGGCTTCGTTCGGGGGGCACATGTTCTTCAACTTGTCTTCGACTTGCCTTGGTCACTTCCATTGCTTTACGGGGACACCTTAACAAGGAGCTGAAGTGGGGGAACAGACAGGCGCATCGATTTCTGTACGCTGTTTTAGACCCGCATGCGTATGCAACATCCCTCCAGGACTCGTCACTTTCGGCATACCCTACCCCACCACATCACTTTGCCCTACCACGTCACATTCAGCTATAACCCCGCCTTTCCGCTATGGAGCACCATGATGCCACCGCTACCGCTGCGCTGCCGACTACGACCGGGGAAGCCCTGGTGGAGACCGCCCTGCACCACATGAGGAAAGTCATCGAGTGGGTGGCCGAGAACTACACGCCACACCAAGCAGAGGACATCAGAGGGAGACTTCGGCAAGGGAGTGCAGATGAAATTACCCAGTGGTTCCAAGCAAGTATCAATGTCATTTCCCCCGTCAACAGTCAAGAACTTCGGCTGGTCTTAGTCGTCCTGTTGTGGTGCCCCCCGAGTTTTCGGTCTCGGCCTTGGTGACGTCTTCCGGGTCAACTGCCACCTCCTCATATTCGTCTTCATCCCTCCTCGGCTTTTGTGGTTCATCTCGTCGATGTTCGCGTGTGTCTTCTCCCTTTGGTTTGTTCGCCTTTTGTTCTCCATGTGGCCTCTCCCTTCTCTGACTGGACTGTCTGGTGCGGTAACCTCCTCGGCGTTCTTCTTGTCCTGGTGGGGTTGGCTTTTCCTTAGAGGCCGATGGTGTTTCACATGGCCTTTTGGTGTGCTCCCTCAGGGTGTCGTCCACTAAGTCGCCTGTTCCCTTGGTGTCATCTTTCTTGGAGGCCGATGGTGTTGCACATGGCCTTGCGTCATGCTCCCCCAGGATGTCGTCCTCGAAATGGCCTGCTCCCTTGGTCTCTGTCGCTCTTGTGTTCTTCTCGTCCTCCTCGTTCCATGGTTTTCCTGAGCGGTCGCGGGTTGTGGTAGCCGATGGTGTCTCACATGGCCCCACGGTTGTGTCTTCCCTATCGGTGTTGTCCCCCCAGTCTGCTCCTTCATCATTGGGGTCTGCTCCCCCTTCGCCCTGTTCATACTCGCCCCCGACGTTGTGGTGCGTTGGAGCCCCAACATCCCCCGAGAAAACCTTGGTGGAGATTGCAGGCATCCCCGTTGCAAAGTATTGTCTCATCGCCAACGACATGGGAATCACTACAACGACAAGCTCGATGCCAAGCTCAGTCATCCGCATGTGAGCACGGCCGGGGAACAAACCGAGACTACCCAGCAGGAGCTCACCCAACACCGCAAAAACCGCCCCATGGGGAAAGCCAGGAAGACCATGTGAAACACCATCGGCTTCCAGGGCCAAACAGTATAGGGGCAACTATGAGGGAGAAAGTCGGTCGACTACAACAACGCGGAGATCACCCACGACCACAAGGCGACCACACACGGTGTGTGGAGAGCCATGTGAAAGACCATCGGCTCGGAGGGAAGAGTCCCAACACCACGACAGACCACCCCTACCAAGGAAGAGAAGATTGGACAGAGCTGGGGGAGACACCTCAAGGAGCAGTGAAAATCTAGAAGACCAAATCAAGCGCCTGGCAAATCGAACAATGAAGTGACCCTCTACTACCTCGACCGCGACATTCTCATCCACTGAGACCTGAATCGGGGACACAAGTGAGCCAAATAGGGAGAGAGGGAAACCAGCTGTGTAACAACCTTAAGGGGGATGTTTTCGGGACATAAGGGGAGACCGTAGCCAACCAATTAATCCAAGTGAGCGAAGCCTCACCGTACTGCACAATCAGCCGCCCTAGGGAAATCGCTTCTTCCCCTCCCTTCCCCTCGTGGGTCCCTGGGTGTTGTTCGGTTGATTTGGGGGATTTCGGTTGTTGGGGAAGGGAGGGACAATCTTCAAACCTCGTATTCTGTCTACAGCCCCAACCCACTAAAACTGTGGGGAGGGAACCACACCTACTCCACCCTGATTGTGGGGAGTATACCTAAGAGGAAGGTCTCAATTCGGGGCGGGGGCATATACCATTGGCTCCAAACATCACAGTGCACGCTTTTGCCTTCCTCATGTTTTGTCCTAAAGGGACGTTTTCGGCAGCTGGTGGGGAACACACACTTGTTCTACATGGTACCGTGGTTGGCACTACGTGGTGTTAGCTGTTGCTTCGGGATACCACCCACCACCTTCCAAACCTATCACACCAACAGACTCTGTATTGCTGGCCCCTTGGGGCGGTCCTTCCCCGCAAGGGGGGGATCTTCGGCTGTGGAAGGAAGGAAGGCAGAGAGAGAGAGAGAGCCAAAACGCTAGGGGCATATTAAAGACTGGGGCCGGCGCCGGGGCAAATTCCCGAATTGATGATCGAGCCTAGTATCCTCTCCAGAAACGTCACCTCAGGGAGTCTAACAGAGGACTGGAGTTCGAGCGCGCTCGTGCGCAGGGCCCTTGGGCTTAAGTCTTAAGTGTCCCCACGCGGAGGAGGCCATGCTGGTGCACGACGCCACTGCCCAGGAAGCCCTGGCCACCCATGTGGAGGATACAGCTCAAGCGACTGAGGGCGTCGTCTCCCGACCCAAAACTGGTCATTTTTTTCCTCATAATTATTGTCCATGTAACATGAGCATGGCACAGGTATAGATGTGTACAACCATATAATATGTGTATATGTATACGTAGTATATTGTGTTGTGCTGTGCTGTATGGTGATGGAATTGTTGTGTTGCATTGTGATTGCAATTGCAATTGTAAGTGAATTTGAACAATCTTTAGTTGTATTGTAGTTGCATTGTAATTGTATTGAATCGCGTTGTATTGTATTGTATTGTAATTGTAATTGTAATTGTAATTGTAATTGTATTGCATTGTATGTACTGTCATGTGCCGAGTTGTGTGTATACGTATGTACACACACACACACATATATATATATATAAATATACATGTATGTATATGTGTGTGTGTGTGTGTTCATATTTACTCTAAAACCCTGCAAAGGGCAAAGCCTACTGCTCCAACCAGCCTAGGTCCAGGAGGCATTGGCGACCCACGCGGAAGCTGAGTTGTTTTAGCGACACAAGATTTCCTTTTTTGGGTTTAGGGGCTACGGACACACCATTCATAGCAAGGCACCCGAACCGGCGCCCAAGGTACTGTTACCAAGCCGTACTTTAAGATTAGTTGCGTTTGAATTAGCGTGTCTTGTGAAACCCCTGATAAAGAGCACTGCAAGAAGGAAGGGCGCCCGGATGTTGAGCGCAGACCCTCCTCGCAGCTGACCCTCAGCGATGCACCCCATACGCCCCTTGGGCGTGTCGGGAGATGGCAGGCCGAAACGTTGAACCTCGAACCAAGAGGGCTTCATGAGTAGCAAGAAGAAAGCAAGCTTTTGTGCAAAACGGCGTGGCTTCGAGAGCTTTGGGGTGATTTTATTGTGAGGTGTTGGCACGCTGCAAGTGTTGGGGTCATACCATCTCAACGTGCTTGAACACGCAGTCAGCAACGTCATCTTGGAATGCCAAATGCAAGCACCCCAAGTCCTAAGTCCTAAGCGGCCTCGTCGAATTTGTGAGATCTTAAGGCATTCGGAGGAGCCGGCAGAGGACATGGCAGAAGCGGTGGAGGCGCAGCCCAGTCTCTAAGCCACCACTCCCAAACATTAAAGAAGAAAGAAGCACAACCCCCCGCGAAATCCTAAGCTACCAAGACCTGAGCCCCGTACCTTCCAAGCCCGTTTCCTCGCAGGCACATAACCAGGAGATCCCGCCGCAGGCGGAAACAGAGGACGTCCTGTCGCGAGGATTAAGAGTTAATAGGCGGGTTCAAGGATCTTGGGCAGATGCACCGACCAGGCAGCCATGAAATCCAGAGAGAGATAGAGTGAAGGACGAACACATGGAGGCTTGGCGACTGCGAGTTCAGCTCATGATGCTACAAGAGGCGGCCACTTCCTGCATCTCGGCGGCTTATTTCTAGGAGAAGATTGGTACCGCATGATTAGGCTTCTTGCGTTCGAAGCCTGAGGTCTGTGAACAATTCAGGTTGGCTGGATTCGAGCCCATGACGTATACGTCAAGCCCAGCAAGCTCAAGCTGATACTCCGAGTAGATCCCTCATGACCCCTCAACCGTGCATGAACCCTCACATAGCAATGCCAGATCATTTCCTGAGCCTCTACAAGCCCACAAGCCCCAGCTGCAAGTCCTCACACCAAAGCTTTCCATCCCAAATCCTCCAATACCCTCCACATCGCAAGCTCCCAGGCATCCCAGCGAAGATGACTCCCCGGGAGCTGGTTCGCACACTCGGCATGGCGATGTCGGACCGGTCCCCCTTTACACAGGCGGGAACATAAACCTCAGCGGTAATTAATATGAATTGATATTGGTGGTTGTGTGGACCCCTGTATATAATCCTGGGTGATGAAATCCAGGCTCTGGCTCTTGATTCCCATGAGGCACTGCATCCGTAAACCGGGTTTTCTTTGTCAAAGGCTTCACCGAAGGACTTCACCTATGTCGACTCTTCGCGTGACTCGCTGATGGTGTCGAGGATGCATTCAGTCATGTGACGGAGGTGGTGTGGGGGGGGGGGGGGGGGGTGGCTAAACGATGTGGAATATACAGTAAGGAGGGCCCACTAGGGTCGACACCGTTTAGGCAAGAAAGGAACAATTGCAAGAGACATCCAGGCCGACACTGAAGATGGTAGCTACGACCAAAAGCCTTACGCGCGGCTCGAGTTCACACAGGAGATGCTTAGCCAACTGAACAACCCTGAAAGAAAGTCTTTCGAAGACCATCGCAGCGTGTTTGCGTTCAAACATCGTTAAACAGAGAGACTTCTTCGAAGCTCAAGGTGGAGTTTTGTTTTAGATTTAACACCCTGTAAACAAATTTCTCGAATACCCAGGCAGAGGGCCTGATGACCCCTCCATCGCCCCCAGCGCCCTCGTCAGCGCGGTCTCCATCCGAGTCGTCGGCGCGCCCACTACGCCGCTCCGTGTTGTTGCCTGGCAGCATTGCTTGGGTATATATGTATATACATAAATACATAAATAAATAAATAAATATATATATACACATTATTATGTACATATATATATATGTGTGTGTATACATATATATATATATATGTATATACATATGCATGGGAGGAGTTGTGGGGTTCATACCTTCTCCCCTCTCCTCGCCTCCCCCTTGATCAACTCCTAACATCTCTAAACCCTAAGCAAAAGACAAAAAGGAAACACCCCCCATGAGCACCAAGCCACGGTGGTGGGGCTTATGAGGTTTGTGCTTAAAGAATCCCAAGCCTTCTGAGCCCTTCCACCCTTCTCCTTCTTAAACCCTGTGAGGAGAGGGGGAGAAAGAGATGCCCTGATCTTTTCCGGATTCATGGGGATGTAAAGTTTAGGTTGGCTGGCAGTCAGCAAGTCCAGCTTCAAAAGGGTGTGCTCAGGTTCGAGGAGCGGACGGACGTGCCCAAGCGTGTGCACCCGGTGCCACCCCTGGACTTTAGCCGCGTTCACATGGGCGATGTCGACATGGACGTCGAAGGGGGCCGAAGGGGGTGTTTGGGTATGTTCGGGTTTCGGTCTCGCGAACCTTTCCTGCACTCGTAAATTGTAGCTAATCCGAAAATTCACCTCGTATGTGCACTCGAAGGACCTGGACTACGACGAGGGGGCAGACTCCACCTGGATGACGCATGGGCGTTCGATCAGTCCCACCGCGTCTTCGCACCTGGGCGGTTTCCGGTTGACTTCGATTTGCAGTCGTTGATTAGGGTCCCTTTATAGTTACTCTTCCTGTTACGGTGCCAGCTGTGGGGGGTGGTGGGTGGAACCCCTTCTATGGTAGAAGCAGCGATGTATGTCATAGCTAGTCATAGTTCCGACATCTGCCGAAACTTGTATCCAGAACCCTCGACTAGTGCACATCCTGACAGCGTGGCAGCTGTGAGTCGAACAGGCGCGGGCAAAGGGCGGGGGAGCCGTCATCAGTATTCGCGCCACTCGAGTTTTCCCTCAGTCAGCTAGGGCGGCAGAAAAGCCCTAAACCCCAAGTCGGCCCTGGTAAAACCTGCTGCAAAGCCCAGGCACCTCAGCAAGTCGACTTCGGATGGGAAGCTTCTCTCCCGACCATCCCTCTTTACTGATGCCGCCCCGCGGCGTCAGTCCTCACCGGAAGAGACTTAGCTTCGACCGTATTCTTGTTTGCGAGGGTATCGAACTAGGAAGCTGCGACCTGCCTGTGGAGTCACATCTGTGTTATTGCTGGCTTTGTGACGTGGGTTCAAGTGCGCTTGGGCCTAGGAGAAGTACCGCAAGTTTGTGGGCAAGATACGTGCGAAGCACCTTCTGCCCCCACGGCAGTCGCCCTTTGCCAAGCCGCAAGTGCTCGCTCCGATCCCCTACAAGTCCGCGGACACCTTCACCATGAGAATGGCGAAGAAGGGGGCACCAAAAAGGTTGCCAACGCCCTTCATGGAGCAGTTGCACTCGCATTTTCACCACCACTTCCACTTCCGCAACAATCTTCCACCAATTTCTCATAGTGTTGACTTTGAGTCTGGCGCTTGCTACGCCGACTCCCAATAGGCCACCCACCGTTTCACCCCCAGCCTTCCACTTGGAGATGTTCACTTTGGTGGCCGTACTTGCTCAGCTCGAGACCCAGGTCGGCAAACTCCTGTTCATCCTTTTGCAATATCAAAAGCAGCAAAACACTCTCGTCAACGCCTCTTGGTTTGGCACGAACGGGGGTTCTCTTGGTCCCAGGGTCATTAAGCGAGCTCCGCCGACGCTCAAAGCGTCTTCGCGCTCGAAGCAGACTTGCGCCTGGACGCGCTGCGCTGAGGGAAACTGGTGCGTAGAAGCTTGGATGAGCTTCCGGTTTGGCCAGCGTGCTCATCAGACCTTCGTGGAATGAAACCCATGCCATGCACCCAAAATGGCCCTCCCCGAACCTGCCCAGTACCACCACCACTCCCAAAGCTGAACTTGACAACCCCAAATCAAAACGTCGGCGGTAAGTTTGCCTACTGGTGGTTTTGCTCAGCTCTTGTTGGGCCAGCCGAAATTTTGCTGAACACCTCTAGGTCTATAAAGTAGCCGATTGAAAAGTACCTTTTCGGGTTACCACTCCGCTTGCGCTGGAGGTCGCCAGGCTGACTGAGCCGACTGTGATGGGGTGGGGGGCATGAGTCTCTTGGGAGCTTTTGGGGGACAGCTCCCCTGTGCTCCTGGTGGCAGTTTGTAAAGCAAGGTTATGCGATGATCCTATGGGGCCAAATTTTGGGGTTTGCAGTTGTAAGGCTTGGGGCTTAGGGGGGGAGCATCGACTTCGGCCCGTGCTTAAAGCAAATTTGGGGCTCAGGGCCTTTAGGCCCTGATCAGCACAAGGGAGCTTTGAGGGCTTCCAAGAGCCAGCATCGCTTAAAAAGCAGAACGCTGCGAGGTTTTTTGTATGTTTCGCCTTCGGGGTTTAGACTGTTGCCTCTAGGGCTTGCAGGAAGTCGGTTGGAAGGGGATGGTGGTTCTCGAGACGCCAAGTGTTTCATTTTTCTTTGAAGTCTTTTTTCTCGAGCGTTTCTTGGAGATGCTGCGAAGCCGCTATGTCCGTTTAGGTCTGAGAGAAGGTGTTTGTTCAGGTTGGGTGTTGGTGGGCTGAGGGCCAAGTCAACCAACATCGTTTCGAATCAGATGTCCATGGCTCGGGAAATAACATGCGAATTAGAAAGCACCAAAGACGACTCAGATTTCCAGGAATCCGGTGCAAGGAGTTCGGTGCCTCCGTGAGACCACGAAAACGGATGACAATGTGACTATGAGGGAGAAACTGGAAGATGTTACTGACCGATTCCCCTAGGTTCAGACATCCATCCACTGGATGATCTCCGTCCCGTTTCCCCCAGAGTATCGCCAGCCTGGACTTCCCAACCCCAGAGAAGGACGGCCCACAAATTCCAAATCTGTAGGGTGGGGATGGTCGAAGTACAATTTTGGTTTGTTCTATTTTCCGTGTTTCTTTTTGTCCTGTGTAGTTACGACGCTTCTTAACATGCTTGGTGCTGTCAGGGTTTCAGTTTCAGGTGGGGTTTGAGGCTTATGGCTGAGGACTTGGGAGCTTGTCCATGCACCTGGGCCCAAGTTGCGAGCCAAGAATGACATGTGCTGCCGTCGCAAAACAACTGCGCCAATGGCCGCAGCAGTTCGGAGAACTGTTCCGAGCCTCGCATCGCAAGGCCCTAGTCAGGCCTCGTTGGCGTGTGGGACTAGGCCCTAGCTGGGCCCCATTGGTTTCAGGAAGTAAGGGCCCCTCAAAGCCCTCTAAAACTTTTGGCAGGAGTGCCCAGAGAGGAAATTCTGTCCCCAATTCGCCCATGAATGAAAGAGAGTGCGAGAGCGAGTGAGTGCAGAGGATGCAGGGATGATAGGGTGTAAGAGGGTGTGTTGAGTGTTGGTGGCAGTATTGGGGCGCTCGGGGTGCATGACTTGAAGTATCAAGTCGGAGACCCAAAATCACCCTGCGCAAAGGAATGACAACAGCTGCCTCTTCTGGGCTGTCGCATACCTGGCTGCCGCTCTGCACTTGCACAAGAGACCCAGAACCCTTTACGCCGAAACTAATGCACCTCCTAAGTAGCTTTTGCTTTTGGAGGCTGGCATTCGGGTGTTGGACCATCTTGCTTCAGGGAGGGGTTATTGGATGTTGGGGTTGGAGATGGCGCTGGGTTCAGAGGTGGGTCTCGCGTTAGGCATGCAACGTGGCAGATCGACATCGAGAACCCAGAAAAGAGGGTCCAAGATATGCCTTGAACTGGTTGAAGCACGCAAAGAAGAATCAGGGGGCCTGCGTTCACGGGTTCATGGGATTCATGGGATGTCAGTATAGGGTTCCACTCTTGCCAACTTTGATACAAGCACACAAGGCCTGCCCACCTCCCATGGATCTGAGGAGGGTGATGTCGGCCGCTCGAAGCTGGGCCAACTCCGTGAGGTGCTTCAGCCTAAGGCGTTTCAGGGTTTAGGGTTTATAAGGTTTAGGGATGTTAAGAGCGACCTCTGGCACGAGGGTTTAGGGTGTCTGGCAGTCAGCAAGTCCAGCTTCGAAAGAAGGGTTTATAGAGCCTTCAAAGAGTGTGTGAGCCTTCTTTTACCGGAGCGGCCCTAGCGCAAACCCCAACTCCGCAACATATGCGGCTGGATGTGAAGCCGATGAAGCAGCCCTGGCAACCAGGACAAGAATGTTCCTTCCACTCTGCAGCTTAAGGCTCCCATATACTCCCGTTTAGGGTTTACAGTTCAAAAGGGTACTACGCATCTTCGTGTTTACACTCCTCTGAAAACCAACATTGCCTGCGGGAAGGGACTGAGGAATGCAATAATTCAGCTCGCTCTCCACCCACGATTGTCTGCCAGCGTGAGAGTCGAAAGCCTTAAGCCCTACAGTACAAACCCCAGCGTCACTGTAATTGAACCCCAGACACCAACAGGCAGGTCGACGCCCCTAATTCCTGAACCCAAACCTTCAACGATGTGGCCGTCTTGCCTTCTCTTGAAGGGGGCTATACGACCGTAGGCTCTGATCGCCCCTATAGCCGAGTCTTTTGAACGTAGCGGTGCCTGCCGCCACCAGCCACGACTTTCACAACTTTCACGGTCTTCGTCGGACATCATGTCCGATGGATTAAATAAGTGCGGCCAGAAGGAGTGTCAAAAGCGTCTCATGTGATACAAAGCCAAGCTGACATGTGCGGATGTGTGAGGTTTCGTTAGTTATTTGTCGTCTAAGGTTTGCGCACAGGATGCGCTGAGCGATCCAGACCCGATGACCCGTGCACTGTTGCTGGGCTTCGGCAGTGTTGAGGAGTATGCCGGCTGGATCAGGAATGAACCCTGCTTGCACCAACCTGTCTACTTGATAGCTTTATGTTTTTTGGAACTGAGGGCGCTTCTAGGGCCTGAAACCCACGTTGATGTTGTTTGGATGCTTGGAAACGGTGGCACCGTTGGTGCGTGAGTTGGGTTTTTCGCTTGCCCTCCATCTGTCTGTGTGTGTGTGTGTGCGCGTTCGTGCGTGCGCGCGCGGACGTGCGCGCGCGTGCGTACACGTCCGCACGTCCGCACGTCCGCACGTCGCCACATCGGTAAGTCGGTCTCGGTCTGTGTCTGTGTCTGTGTCTGTGTCTGTGTGTGTGTGTGTGTGTGTCTGTGTGTGTGTGTGTGTGTGTGTGTGTGTGTGTGTGTGTGTGTGTGTGTGTGTGTGTGTGTGTGTGTGTGTGTGTGGTGTGTGTGTCTGCGTTGTCTGTGTCTGTGTCTGTGTTGTCTGTGTCTGTGTCTGTGTTGTCTGTGTCTGTGTCTGTGTTGTCTGTGTCTGTGTCTGTGTTGTCTGTGTCTGTGTCTGTGTTGTCTGTGTCTGTGTCTGTGTTGTCTGTGTCTGTGTCTGTGTTGTCTGTGTCTGTGTCTGTGTTGTCTGTGTCTGTGTCTGTGTTGTCTGTGTCTGTGTCTGTGTTGTCTGTGTCTGTGTCTGTGTTGTCTGTGTCTGTGTCTGTGTCTGTGTTGTCTGTGTCTGTGTCTGTGTCTGTGTCTGTGTCTGTGTTGTCTGTGTCTGTGTCTGTGTCTGTGTCTGTGTCTGTGTCTGTGTCTGTGTCTGTGTCTGTGTCTGTGTCTGTGTGTGTCGTCTGTGTCTGTGTCTGTGTCTGTGTCTGTGTCTGTGTCTGTGTCTGTGTCTGTGTCTGTGTCTGTGTCTGTGTCTGTGTCTGTGTCTGTGTCTGTGTCTGTGTCTGTGTGTTTTGTTTTTTGCCGGGCGGGGGGGGTTGGGGAGGGCGGGGAGGGCGGGGAGGGAGGGCGGGGAGTGTGCTTTGTAGGGTTTTTAAACCCTGAACCCTAAACCCGGGTTTATAGGGCTTAGAGGATGTATGGCAGCGTTTCAACGAGTGAAGGGGAAGCCTGGGTTCGTTTCCACAAGTAATGGGTGGGTTGTTAACGGTTTAGGGTTTTAGGGTTTACGGTTTTGGGTTTTGGGTTTAGGGTTTAGGAAGACTTTATGGGGTTTCGGTCCAGATGGACGCCCTGCAAATGCAATTGGCGACCTCGTCCCGCAGCTCGTGCGACTGCTCGCGGAGCGCGCCCCTGCCCCTCCGATCCTCAGAGTGGGCACGATGCGGCGGGGCATGCACCCTAAACCCTAAACCCTAAACTAAACCCGAAACCCGAAACCCTAAACCCTAAACCCCAAAACCTAAACCCTAAACATGAAACCCTAAACATGAAACCCGAAACCCGAGACCTGAAACCCTAAACCCTAAAGCCTAAACCCTAAACCCTAAACCCTGAACCCTGAACCCTAAACCCTACACCCAAAACCCAAAACCCTACACCCAAAACCCTAAACCCTAAACCCTAAACCCTAAACCCTATGCGGAGCTGCAACTGGTATTGTAGAAAGGAGTTAGTGTTGGGTGTTGGAAGGGTCAACGTACCCGGAAACCCTTTATGGCTCAAGATGGCCAAGAGCCGTCAGCTTTTGTTGAAAAAGTACGTACGCCTGGGGTTGGGTTTAACGGGTTGGAGTAGTCCCGTCCCTTCTCCCTTAT